CCATGGTGTCGACAATGGTGTCGATCTCACGCTCCTCGAGGCCGTCGCCAAAGACGGATCGGACCCAGCCGCGGGTGCTCATGGTAGGGTCGTCGTGCTCGACGCCGTTGCGGATCTCGAGGTCGCGCAGCTGGAAGAGGAGGTGATCCAGGTCCGAGGCGAGCTCGCGGGCCTCGAGCATCTCGCCGTCATCGATGTCGCGGAGCATGAGCTCCTCGATGTCCACGGGGTTGGCCATGGTGCGCTCGGCGATGGAGAGCAGCAGAGCTGCGGAGACAGAGGCGCGCTTGATTCCGACCATTTTGAATGAATTATCTTGTTTGAAGGGGTGTAAAGGAGAAAGGTTGACCAGCAACAGATAATAAGAAATAAGAGAATGGTAATTAAAAGGGTTGAAAGAAAAGAAAGAGACCAGCTCTAGAAAATGGTGGTTGTTTTCGGTGTTTGTTGGTGAGAGTGAGGAATGGAAGTTGTAGATTCCAGACGGCTTCAAGTCTTTATATTCATCTGCCCTCAGCTACCCAGTACAAGGGCCTAGACAAGGCTGGCCGTATTGCATCGCTTCGTCTGCCATCAGCACCCCTGTCAGCTGGGACTTTGGACACTGTTTCGGCTTTGCGAGGCCATTTTTAGGAGTGCGCTGGGTTATCCCCCGGCTGGGCCCCAGGACGACTGATTGTATGGCCAATTGCCATTGATCACGATGGACATGGCCACGGTGCAATGGCCAATTTAGCCTTCCGCTGGCTACCGCAACAAGCAGGCCTCAGCTTGAGCTTCCGTGTGTTGGAGGATGCAATCTGGACGAATGGCCCACCTCAGCACCCAAAAATAGAGCCAAATTCACACAGACCCCCAAAACCCAGTTAGTCAGCGTTATTTTGGTTTGATTCAGCTTCGATTCGATATTACCATGAAGTAATTACGTGATGTTTACCAGTGCGCGTATTCGGATCACCTGAAAGGCCTCAGCCAACCACAAGCCAGGAATGTTCATGGCTGGCCATGCGTCGTCATTTGTAGCGGTCCAAGATTAACGAGCTATAGTGATCAATGTTTTTCCGTGACTCTCGTCATGGTAATGCCCAAGATGCCCCCCTTCCCTGCTCAAGCGCCGGCTTTGACGTGACGCGACACCGGTCCGAGGTGGATCTCATTGCCTACCCTATACAACGCTTTCATCTTTCCTCGGTCATGTGCCCTTCCTGTTCTCTCTCAATCTGATGTTATATCTACTCCGTAGAATCAAGTTGAATATTGCCCAAATTACGAAATCTAAGCTCGGAGTTTGGAAAGTATGAGTCGAATTGGAGCGAGGTTTAGAACAGTACAAGTATCAACCATTCATTCTTTGGGAGGGATGATCTGTCACTTCAGCTACCTACAAACTCACGCAAAACTCCTCTTGAACGAGCAATTCATATATAATTTGGCAAGATGGTTGATGAATAGTAGATAATGCAGGCTTACACTACATGTCGGGATGCTTCGATCCTAGCAGCTGATCAATGCCCTTCGCCTCGAAAATCTCCTCCAGTGTCTTGGTAGGCACCTTGGTCTTCAGATCCCTGGGCTCAACGACCTTGCCCTTGACGCCGTGCATGAAGCCAAACTCGCCGACAAAGGCCGGCCCGTCGAGCACCTCGTAGGGCAGCCCGGTGCGCTCCTGCATCTCCTCGAGCGTTACCTGCACGACCTTGGCGGTGTGTCCCGTCAATTTGCTCCATGTGTCGGCAGCCTCCTGCATCGTCGGGTAGGCGTCGTAGGCGAGCAGCTTCAGTCCCGGCTCCTCGTCCTCAATCAGAGCCCGCACGAAGGGACCCGTGGACTCCCGCTCACGGATCACGGGCATCTGCATCTCGGCTGGGGCAGGGAGCATGAGCGCCCAGTCACCCAGATGGGGGTATTTCTGGGGCAGAAGGAGAGGATTGGTGCTGTAGGCTCCGAGGTAGATGAAGGAGGTCTTGGCAGCCAGCTCGGGCGTCTCGGCCTCAATGTAGTCGACAGCGACGGCCTTGGAGTCCCAATGGCCTGAGTGAGGGTACTTTCCGTTTGATGCGACCTTCATGGGCCCCAGGGCCGAGTAGATGAAGCGGCGCAGCGTGGGGATCGTGGCCGCGGCATCAGTGGCATTCTTGACGTGGGAGAACTCGACGTCGAAGCCGATGCGGGTGCTCTCCTCACGCGACTTGCCGGCTTTCACCGCAGCGCCGTACGGAGCCCAGAAATCGGTGTTGACGAAGATGGCGTGGGCACCGGCAAAGGCGCGGACGAGCGACTCTTTGTCTGTGAGGTCGGCCTGGACCACCTCGGCACCCTTCGCTGCCAGATCGAGGGCAGCAGGTGAGGATGTGTTGCGAGTGAGGCACCGGACATGCCAATTGGGAAGAGATAGAAAGGTATGAGCGACGGATGAGCCTTGGTTGCCGGTAGCGCCCACAATGGCAATGATATTTGATGCAGACATGGTGGGATTTCGGTTTACGTTATGTGCCTGTTCGATGATGGGGGTTCGCTGAGGAGGGTGATGGTGATGCTATTGTGATTGATGGCAACATCTCTAGGAGACAGACCGTATTTATACAGGATATCTGATGCATTGTTGCTTGAAGATATCCACGGACTGAAGCTTCTCGATGCTCCAATCTCCGGCTTGGAAGAATGGCTGACGATCTGGCTGATGATGTTTGTGAGCTTTGAAATTGGTGTTGGTGCAGGCGATTGAAGGAGCGAGAGCTGATTGGGTGGAAAACCGTAAGCCATCCAACGGAGAAAAGCGTGATTACGACATCGACAAAAAGAAAGGGAAGTTTAACACGTGATCAGTACAGTATCATGCTCGGCTAATTCTGTCAGCCACCACCAGCCATAAGCCATAGCGCTGGACTTGGCGGAGGGTTGCAGTTTCCAGGGCATAGCTCCGCTGGAGACTCCACTGTTTCTTCGTCATAGCGCTGGAGTGGCTTATTCCATCTCGACGACTCTTTCCTCCTGCTCCTTCACGTCCTGGTAATCAACCACCCCATACCAGAGGAGCTTGTTCAAACGGGACAAGACCCAGCAAATGGATGCCGCAATCGTGCCGGACCAGCTGTATGTGCTCTCCACAGGGGCTTCAGGAGCCATGTCCGCCGCCCCGCTCCCGACGGCCGAAGTGTCGGAACATCCAGCCGACGAGGGCGTCAAAGAGCACCAGGCTCCCTCAGGACAGAACGTGAAGGGCGACAAGGGGGCTAAGCCGAAGAAGAAGCGAGTCATCACTGAGGCGAGGAAGGAACAGAACCGTATTGCTCAGAGAGCTTTTCGTAAGTCGTCCCGCTTGCCATTCGAACACCGCTTCATTTCATCCCTATCTCCCCCGAGCTCAACTCAATTAACTGACACATCTGCTCAAGGCCAACGCCAGAAGGAACTGGGTCAGCGAGCCAAGGCCGAAGCTAAGAAGCAACCCGGCGTGAAAAAGCACCGGGAGCTTTTACCGCGCGGAGCTGACACCGGTAATAAGTCCATCACCAACCATGGATCGTGTCTCCCAATGCCCTCAGCCCACTCAGATGGGATGCCCCACGAGCCTTTGACGTCCGCAGGATCGCAAAACACCCTTGCCCTGCTACCCTCGCCGCCGGATTCGACTTCACCGCTACCTCTGCCATCTGAAACTGACCGTCAGCTGGAGGAGGCATACCTTCAACTGGCCATGCCTGACCCTCGGGCGAACACGCAAGAGTTCTTGGAGACTACAGTCTGCTCAGCCATTCTACACAATGGCCTCTCACTAGGTTTCGACTTGGAGACCATCGCCGACTGCAGCATTGAATGCATGTCCCCTTTCTATCGTCCCACCACTCCGCAAGACGACCCGGTAGCTCTCTTGGCTTCCGCCATCTCGCATCTTGCTGTTGAGCCGCCAGTCTACCTGCGCCCAACCCTCGCCCAGGTCTTGATTCCTCACCACGCTAGTCTCGATCTCATTCCCTTGCCAAACCTGCGGGACAAAGCCATCATGCTCTCCGCAGCCATGCCGACCGTCTTCAATATCTGGGAGCTCAAGGTCGACATCTACGAACGCGGCGGGCTCGGCGTGTCCAAGGGGAATGGCCGAGGCTGGCGTGGCAATCAACCCTGGCAGAGAGAGAGCTGGGTTGCCGCGCCTTGGTTCCTCCGCAAATGGAGCATGTTTCTCGAAGATGACAAGGAGCAATTATCAGCGCATTCAATTGGCCGCGTGGGCGAGATCACAGGCGATCACGTAGGAGAGTTCGTGATTTGAACTAAGCAGTTGTTCGTCTTGCTGCAGTAGCTGTGCCGGCCAGATGGTGCGGCCATGGATCAAGTTCCAATGACGCAGGGCGGGATCTGCTCCCTCTTCTACCCGATTCCATCGGTATGATCCTCCGGACTGAAGACTACGGAATGCCAGACCGAGGCGTGCATCCATGCATAACAATCAATCCTTCGGAGGGCAAACACTTGGCCACAGGCCGATCTCGTCGAATCATTCCACAAACACATGCCCCCTTCCCATCATTTGAGGGGCTTGAAGCGCCGACGGAGCATTCAACCCCTCATCGTGCGTCTTTGCTCGGCCTCACATCGACGTGGTTACATCGCAGGGATATGGTAAGGTTACGAGATAAGATTGTCCTGGACGATGAATGCTGATTGACGCATTTCCCCGCATGCACACACCATTCAGACAGCGCTGGTTCTTGATTGTTACATCTGATCACCGTCTAACACTACCCGGTCTGGAAGGTGATTAGCGAACCCAGGTGCCAAAAGAACTGCGGGGGAGTAAGATGCTGGCCGTTGCAGGGTTTAGCACATCATGTGTCGGTGCTTATTTGGTGTGCCCGGCCTCTTGCCGTTATCAGCTGTCGTTGAGACATGGCCTCACATCGCCCTGCTTATATTTCGCAGTTCTTTATTTGTATCGCCTGGGGAGCTTGTTCCTTCTCTTTCCCCCCTCCCAACTAACTCCCCGAGGAACATCATCCATCATGGCCAGAACGGAGAAGACAGGCGCACACCCAGCGTCGGATATCGAGGCTGTTCAGCTCGACCGTGACAACATTACCAATGAGAAATCAGGACCACGTCCTGGCGAATACGTGGAAAACCCGGCCAAATACAACCAAGAGACGGAGCACATCGGCACTCTAGATCGCAGACTCAAGTCTCGTCATGTGCAATTCCTTGCCCTCTCTGGTGCGATTGGCACAGGACTATTTGTCGGCAGTGGCCAGGTCATCTCGCTGGCTGGCCCCCTCTCGGCCGTACTCTCGTACGCCATCACTGGCTTCAACCTCTTCTGCGTCATCAACAGTCTCGGCGAAATGGTTACTTGGCTGCCCCTCCCTGGCGCTGTCCCCATCTTTGCCACTCGATATGTAGACGAGGCTCTGGGCTTTACCCTTGGCTGGAATTACTGGTACCAGCTGGCCATTGGCGTGCCGCTCGAGTGCACAGTCTGCGCCGTCATCATCGATTACTGGGACCACAGTCTCCCCAAAGCGGGGCTTCTCACCATCTTCTATGTCGCCATGGTCATCGTGAACTGCTTCCCAGTCAACATTTATGGAGAAGCTGAGTTCGTCTTTGGCGCCATCAAGCTCACCACCATTGTTGGCCTCATTTTGCTCATGCTCATCATTACATGTGGCGGCACCCCCACAGGCGAGGTGATTGGCTTCAAGTACTGGAGGGATCCTGGCCCAATGAATGAATATCTCAAAGAAGGCCCGCTCGGCCGATTCCTTGCCTTTTGGAAGGTCTTCATCCAGGCGACCTTCTCATATGGTGGCAGTGAAATGGTCGCCGTTGCTGCAGGAGAAACCGAGAATCCACGTCGCAACATTCCCAAGGCCGTACGCAGAGTGTTCTGGCGAATCCTGTTGTTCTATGTTCTCGCCATGTTCCTCGTCTGCATGTGTGTGTCGTCCGAAGACCCAAAGTTGCTCAATGCCATTAGCAGCAACGCCCCCGGCGCCAATCAGAGTCCGTTTGTCATTGCTATTGACAACGCCAAGATTAAGACCCTGCCTAGCATCCTAAACGCCATAGTCCTCACTTCTGCCTGGTCTGCTGGCAATTCGTTCTTTTATTCCTCCACTCGAGTGCTCTACTCAGCTGCTTTAGACGGCAAGGCACCTGCCTTCCTGAGATACGAGAAGTTTGGTGTACCGTATGGATGTGTCGCTATGACCTCTGCCTTGGGGCTTTTGACCTATCTCAACGTCAACGAGCAGTCGAATGAAGTCTTCTTCTGGATCAGCAACATTTCTGCCGTCAGCACCTTGATCGTCTGGGCCGCCATCTCGTATACTTACGTCCGGTTTTACCATGCGCTGAAGTACAATGGGATCGATCGCGATACTCTACCCTTCAAATCACCTCTGCAGCCATATCTCGCGTGGTTTTCCATTGGCTTTTGCCTCCTCATCGCCTTCTTCAATGGCTTCGACTGCTTCTTCCCTGGGAAATTCAGCGCCAAGACATTTATTCCTCCATACATTGACATCCCGATTGTGCTTTGTTTGTTCTTTGGATACAAGTTTGTTAAGAAGACCAAGTTCGTCCGGATAGAGGAGATGGATATTTGGTCCGGCAAGGCTGAGATTGACCGTCTGGAGCCTCTGTGGCCTGTCGTGAAACCGCGGAATTTCTTGGAGCGTATCTGGTTCTGGATTGCATAGGGTGGCTATCGGGGGGAATTGAACTTGATATCATTGACTTGACTTATTATGCTGCATGAGAAATGATGACGTTTCTAACCGATGACAAAGAATAGCCCAAGATGCCTTCAAACAATACACGAACAATAAAATACTCTCACAATACCTTGCTTCTTTTATGGATATCCTCCACCCTCTGTGCTTCACTGTGATATAACGTATCTACCAGATACATCGTCCTCTAGATTGGATCGATATAAAGCCCCCCAATTACTGACTTTTCGCGATTTCCCAGTGACTTGAAGGGAAACGCTTCACAGTCAATAATCTCACTATGTTCCATCTCGGTACGTGGAGACGATGAAAATGTAGTATCGCCGACCTCAAACTCAAGCGAATCATCAAAGCTCTGCTTGTCCGATGATTCAGTATCGACCAACACCATCCGGGATTTGAGCATCTCTTGACGTAGTGAACTGCTCCATCTGATTATGTCGTCCAAACGATCTACAATGTCATCATGTATCGGGTCGAGCACAGTCATGTCATGGTCGGATGCACTCGGACTGGCTGTTGATCCTCCCCAGAGGAGAGCGCTGCGGACGAGCCCTTCCGCTCGGTCAACGTATTCTATTGAATCACCGCAGGTTAGCAATGTTCCGTCAATGCAAAAGAGATGGTTGACGTGCCTTTTGATTTTGAGAGACAGAAGTCTTTGTAGACACTCCTCATGATGTCGCTGAATTTTTGGACCTCGGGCAGAGTATCATATGCCATGATGACGGTTCTCTCACGAGAACACAACCTCCTTTCGGCGTCTTCGCCCGTCAGCAAAATTAGCCACATATAAGAATTGGTAACGTCTCATCTCACCTGTGAATAAGTCTCCTCGGAATGCCCTTAGAATCTCTGCATCCGAGCATAAGTTCGGCATAAGCGCAATCAAGCTCGCAGCCATGGGCAGCCTCCAACGCGGCTCAAACAGCTGCGCAATCTTGAGCGCGGCATTGATCTCGCAATCAACCTCCCTCCCCGCCGCGGACACCACCCTCGAGCCTAGACTCTTGCGGAGCCGGACCACCATCCGCGCGCAGGGCGGCTTCTCGTCGCGGTTCCAGCCCTCAAACTCCTCCAGCTCAGGCAGCATCTTGTACAGCCCGCCGTTGATGACATCCATCGCCGACACGATCTGGCACCTGCCCTCGATCTTCAGCGCACCCTGGGAGAGGTACTCGCCAAAGTAGTAGCACCCGGACGACTTGCTCTGCGACTTGCCGAGCCGCAGGTTCTTGAGGTCCCGCAGGCCGATGTCGAACAGGCTGAAGGAGCGGATGAGGTCAATGTCCCGCACGAAGCTCCGTTCGGGGCACTCGGTCGTGTCGACGATGCAGAGCTTGATGTCCTCGAGGGCCGAGCCGTCCCGCGTGCTGGCGTGTAGCTGGTACACGTGCACGAGGGCGTACAGCAGCGAGCTGGTCCAGGACACGACATTGCTTTCACCGTCACCGTGTTGCCACCGGAGGTGCTTGTTCAGCATGTCCGCCACGAGGCGGTTGTCGCCCCGGTCGAAGAGGTCGACATTGCTGCTGGTGCCGCCTTGCCGCGAGTCGAGGGACTGGGCCCAGGCGGTGTCGGTAGCGGAGCCGGAGATGGGTGTGAAGACGCGGAAGAGGTAGCGGGGGATGTCGTGGAATTTCTGGCGGAAGCAGTCGTTCTCGTGCTTTGGCGAGAAGGGGAGGGATTCTGCCTCCGAGGTGATGCGGGCCATCTCGAGCTCCTGCGCGAGTCTCTTGACTACCATGGCGTCAGGTTTGCGGGAGAGGAGTGTAGTTGTCGAAGCACCAAGTGACGCCAGACTGTGACTTAGTCTGCCTCACTTCTTAGAAGCCTCAAAATATCAATACTGCGGAAAAGAAAAGGAGAAAAAAAAGAAAGGGGTTCCAGAATCTCGGTGGTCGTAGAGAGACTCATAAGAACGGAGCTTATTCAAGGAATCATCCCAGTGCGACTATGGAATGCGGAACTCATCGAGACGCGTAGATAGCGTCTGAAACAATATCGATTTGCCAACGGCATGGATTGGATTGTGCTGATCGTTTGGGAGGCTTAAAATAAACCAGCATCTGGCGTTTGAATAACAGGGTGAATGAGGAAGACGCCATTTCGAATTGTCCCCCTTCCCTCACTCTATTAACTAGATGAGGCTTGAATTATTCTTAAACCGCAACAATTATGGACAATTATTGACTACTGAATACCGAAATACTGGTTGGTGATGTAACAAGGGGTGTCTCAGTTTGACGCAACCCTTGAAGGGCAGCCAATGGAGCCCTAAACACAACCCTTTAATGGAATGCTAAGAGGAACTTTGCTGAGACAAAAGCGAAGACGAGTTGAAGGGGTGCAAATAAGCTAAAAAAGTAATCTGTATGTGCTCTCGATTGCAGGTTTTCATCTTCGTAAATGTAAGTTATTAAGTTATTAATGCTTAATTTTGACAATAGTTTCTAAACGATCATTCCTCTTGTAAAATTCTTTTGTAGATTAGCTTTCATCTTTGTAATTTGACACCGAAAATTCGTCTTTGGTAATCCCTCTCAACTTGAAGTACAATTTACTGCTTCTTCTTGCCCTTTGGCATTCTCACAAGCCAGTAGAGGAAAATAGCGGCCGCAATGTTGAATGCAATAAAGGCGAACCCAATCCCAAAATCCCGCCAGCGATTATCGTAGGTGGAGTTAAGTCGGTCCAGGAAGCTGTTTGTAGACGACATTGGGCAGTACAGACAGCTGTCCGTGTCGTCCGCGTTGATAATCTTGCCGCCAGTAGCAGCAGCGAAAACCTCTAGATATTTTCCGCAGGTCAGACCGTCTGGCGGATGGACTTTGACCAATTCATTTGTTGCGCATTGGACATCCTGGTTTGCCAGGCCGGTTGATAGGACCGAAGATACCCAATATGTGAAGGGGTTGAGACGGTACATAAAGATCCAGAATCTGGGCATCATATCCGACGATGCCATAACACCACAGAAGAACAAACACATCATAAAGAGGGTGTTTGCTAGGTTTCCTCCTCCCTCAGCTGTATCAACAGCTGCAATGCAGGCGTGGGCAAAGGTGCTTGTAAAGAGCAGGAATTGCCAGAAGAGCAGCCACATTAGTCCTCCACGCTCGACGACGGTGTCTGTCATGGCCGCGTTGCGCTGGAAGCCAACGGGGTAGTACACACACACGAACATCAAAACGGAGACGACCGTATTCCACGGAATCTCCGCCATTAGTTGGGAGACGATGAACACCATCCAGCTGTAGGTCTTTGATGGCCTTTCGCGAACCTCGTATAGCGAGCGTTGAGTAACGAAGTAGGGCATTTGCTGCTGTACGATTTGTCCGAAGACGCTCAGAATATTGAACAAGGCAAACATCTGGTTCTGTAAACCCTGAATACTCAGAGGCGCGTCGATCAGCACGAGTCCAATAAAGAGGGAAATTAGGGTGAGCAAGGCGAATTTAGAATAAATGTAACTTGGGGTCCGCCAGTACTGTTGAAAGACACGGTGCGAGACAACGAGAAGCTGCGGCCAGAGGGGAGATGCAAACTCTGAATCCGTTTCTGTGGCCCCGATGCTATCCGAATGGTTTACAGGGTTAGATATCAAGTGTTGCAACTCTGTTTGAACTTCCTCATACTCGGGGCTGTCAAGCCAGGTTTGGTGCCAGTCCACCTCGGTGGTTGCTCCTGGCGCTGCCCCAATAGCCTCGAGCATCCACTCAGCAGGGTTCTCGTCTTTCAGACACTTCGGAGCGCCGTGCCTCTCAAAGTAAGATGTCATCGTCTCGGAGCCCTCACCGATATCACCGAAGTAGACCGTTTTCCCGCCTTTAGCTAGAAAGAGAAGACGATCGAACCGCTGGAAAAGCATAGCGGAAGGCTGGTGAATTGTACATAAGACTGACTGGCCGGCCTTTGAGAGCTTCTCTAAGAGGTCTAGAATGGACCATGAAGTTTGAGAATCCAGTCCGGAGGTGGGCTCGTCAACGAAGAGTAGGAGTGGTGGCTTTGCGGCCAATTCGACTCCGATTGTGAGACGTTTGCGCTGTTCAACGTTCAATCCTTCCCCGAGGACGCCGACGACAGCATCAGCATACGCTTGCATGTCTAACAATTTGATCACTTCATCAACGTAGGCTAGCTTCTCAGCTCGGGGCGTGGTGTTCGGCTGGCGCAGTAAGGCACTGAACTCGAGTGCTTCGCGGACGGTGGTTGTTTCGAGATGGAGATCTTGCTGTTGCACGTACCCGGTCTTTCGTTGGAAAGAAGCATCCCGGACGTGACCGTCCACCAAAATATCTCCCGAGATGACCCCCATTCCGACTCGATCGGCGAGGCAGTCGAGAAGAGTCGTTTTCCCGGCGCCGGACACCCCCATGAGGGCTGTCAGCGTACCCGGCTTGACCCAACCGTCGATTCTGTCCAAGATTCTTCTCGGCTCTCCCTTGATTTTGATATCATAGCAAACCTTGCTCCAGTGGAAGACGCTAGTTGAGCCTTGAATGACGCCGTCTTCAGAGCCGCTGCTGGGAGGCAGCTTCTCCATCTCCATAATAGTTGCAGGTCCCTTCACTGAAGCTTCGATGTCATTCCTAGCGCCGTGGTATTCTCGAGGGACGTGACCTTTGCGGAATACAAGGACCTCGCCTTTGGATTTCTTCGCAGAGATCCATTCAGTTGCGGCAAAATAGATAAGATGCAGGCCGATGACGAAGGCAATGAGGATTCCAACATTCCTCCACTTATGTTCTGGCAGGTAAGAGTATTGTGTCATATAATAGTCGTCTCCGTTGACGCTAGCGACCCCAGCAGGAGTTCCTACTGTGGTACAGGCCATGTTCTCCAATCGGACGTTTTCGTATCCGGGGACAGAGGGCATGGGAACGAAGGCAGAGCATTTGAAGGTGCGTCCAGAGAATTCATTGATCATGAGCGCTTCGTACCCATATGCAACTGGATCGATATAGTTGATCCAGCGGCACCAGCCAAGCATGTAGTCGACTGGAATAACGAACCCGGTAAAGACGACCATTGCTAGCATTAAAATCGAGGCTGGAACCATAGCCTGAGATAATGTACGAGAAAGAGATGCACTGCCGAGAATTAGGAACTGGTCACTCGCTCAAGGGTATGGGATCAAACTCACATAGATCGGAAAAGCCCAGACATAGCCATAACCATCAACAGGGAAACGAACCAAAAGAAGAAGAATGCGCCTGGCTCACGTCGTAGATTGGTCATGAAATAGATGGTTAAGTTGTAGAAAATGCTATTGGTAACCTTATAGGGCAAATCAACTAGCACGGATGCGAAAGCTTCAGATGACGGGTGGTAGAAGCCGTACCGATCATGTTTCTCAACAATTGGGCGTTGCGAATATTGAGTGAGAATCTCGATAGCGCTGGCAAAAGCATTGGCGAGGATGGCCATGAATAAGACTGCCGTTCTTCCATAGAAGGAGCTTGTGTCCTGTTGCAAGTTGTAGAACAAGGACGAGACAATGAATCCAACACACGTATTGGCAATGAGGACAAAGATCGTTAGGGAAGGGTTTCCGACGAGCCGTTTCCAGCCTCTCCACAAGCAGAGCTGGACTTGCTGGCCATATGTGAGCGTGTATGGTGACTTGAGTCGTTGCCCCTTCCCCTGGGATGCGTGCTTGTGCGCGCGAAATTCATCTCCGTGCGGCCCATCAAAAGCATATTCTCTCTTATAGGCCTCGATGTCTACTTGGAGACTGCGATAGTCCTCGCTACTCCTCCAGCATGCTGCGAACTCATCTGGCGTTCGAGGAGTTTTCCCTTCCCAGCCTTTCTGAACAATACGTTCCGAGGGCGACGTCATTGAAGTCAAGAAGTCGGGCGTTGTCTGACGATCGGGACACTCGAACCCAAGCCGAACAAAGTACTCCTTCGCCTTGGCCGCCGACCCAAAGTAGATCTGCCTTCCTTCATAGAGGAGGAGGGTCTTATCGAACAGGTCGTACGCACTTTGGGGTGATTGGTAGATTGAAACGGCGCACGTGTGCCCGAAGAGTTCAGATTGCAACCGCAAAGTTCTGCAGAATTCAATCGCATTGGCCGAGTCGAGGCCGCGTGTTGAATTATCCCAGCATTGCAATGGCGCGTAGGACAATGTAGCCTCCGCGATCGTGACTCTCTTGCGTTCGCCGCCGGAGACGCCCCTGATATACTCGTTGCCCACTTGAGTGTTGAGGGTGTGTGTGATGCCGTACATGCCCATCACGATATCGCGATAATGGTCACAATACTGATTCCGAGTCACGCCGGGTGGTATCTTGCTCGGACACCGGGCTCGCGAGGCGAATGTAAGAGTATCGGCGACGGACAGCATAGGAAAGTGAACATCCACTTCAGCAGTATAAATTGCTTCTCCTTTGTGCTGAGTGTGCATCTCTTTGGCTGTTATTCCGTTATAATTCAAATAGGCTGTGCTGTCAAGATAGATTCCATTGTGCTCTCCAGCAATAGCCTTCAAGAAAGTGGTACATCCAGCACCAGGAGGACCAAGGATGACAAGCATCTCGCCTGGCTTCACGACGCCGTCGCATCCTCTTAGAATATCGATGCGCCGCCCTTTATTCTTCATGAACGCCTTCCGAAATAGATTAGGGATCTCGAGAAACATGTTGCCCACGTTCTTCTGATAATCGGTCGAAGTCCCGTACCCGAAAACGTTCAAGTCCTGGAAGCAGAATCCTGTCTTGCGGAAGCCAATGCCGTTATCAATGTTGTAGCGAGCAAGAGTCTTGGCCCACGTCCTTGCGCTGAAGTTGTGGCCGGAGGGGTTCAATGGCGATTCCGGGTCATCGTTGGCGAACAGCGCTTTGGGGTTCTCGTGAACATCGCCGACGGCAGAGTGCTGAGAGAATTGACGGGCGAGATTTTGTACCGTAGAGTGACGACGCTCCATTTCGGATGAGGCGCTGTCATCTTGAACTTCGCCATCTTCCACCTCTGGAAGCATTTCAAAACGTCCCTGGTTGGTCCCCTTATTAGGGGGATAATAGGATTGGGGCTCCATGAATGAGTCAATCAAAGGGGACACAAGTAGAGATCAAGGCTAGGCTGTCGTCGTGCCAGAGTGGGAAGCGCGAGGCGTTGGCCCCTGGACACTCGTTTGTCGCGCACTGGATGAATTGAGATGTCACAACAGAGTGCTAGGCCAATGGGACATACTCTAACATTAGGCAAGCAACTGGAGAGTAGAACAAGAATTCCGACAAGAAGGAGGCGCCAGTGACTGAAATGTGCTCCCTCAGCGTCATATATGTCAGTATACGCACTCTTTAGCTTCCCGTACCCGAAGGCGACACACAAGGCACTGGTAGATCAATCAAGAATCTTTTCTCGGGAAGGATAAAAACAAGAGTCCGACGAGTCTGGTCGCGTTGGAATGCGCGAGGGTACGCCCTTGGCCGGAATTTGTCTAAGCCAATCCGTTTCACGTGTTTGTCGCAGACGGAGGCTTCCAAGAACCCGAACTAATGCCTCCCTGGATTGGAATGATCCCGGAAAAGGAAGAGTTACATCATATGATTTCTGTCATATGATTTCCAGATTTTCCAACTTGGGCAATTCTCATTTGAGAATAGAGCTGCAAGAAGAGAGAAATCGCTGCATTGTAGATCTGCATCTCTATGAACCACGGGGCCTACCTAGGTAATTCACAGATACGCAAACTGAAATCACCTATGTCTCACCTTTCCCAACGGAAATGTGTCATCTACGATCTACTACCAGCTTCAGCGTGACTTTTTAGCTCTACAATCCCATCCTCCCAACCACAATGTCGTCAACTTCGGTATCATGCATCACGAAACCGGGGAAGGAGCAAGCCAAATCAGCATCTCGGCAAGGAAAGAAGGTGCTCGCATGCGTGAGTTGCCAGCGGCGCAAGAAAAGATGCGATAGAAACAACCCTTGTTCGAACTGTGTTCTGGTAACCAAGTCCTGGCATAATCGTCACAAGAAGATGCTCATCAGACAAAACAGCTTGGAATCAATTGCACGGCAAGCCAGCCAGCACCACATCGAAAACGACGGAGGAAAAACCAAGAGATGGTTGAAAGGCTCGAGAGGTGTGAGGAGTTGCTGAGACAATTGACAGAAGGGAGCAAAAATGGCTTGTCTCTTGCTGGAGATCACTGTAACGAGCAAATTTCATCCCTTGATTCAGCCATGATGGAATTGCGAGAAACGCTGGACCCGCGAGAGGCAGATACCAACAACTCGTCCAAGGAAGAAGTCGACAAGAAATCGCCGGAGCAGGCTACGATCCCCTCCATAGATGACCTACAACTACGCCCTGAGCCCTGACGGCTCCCAGAGCAGAGGATAAATGGTCACTGGTGCATCTCTGACAGATATTCGACGAATCAGTATTGCCAAAGGGTCGGAATAACGAGACGACAGACGACCAGCAGCCGTTGGGAATCAGGTTCTCCAAAACCAGAACAACAAAAGAGCTGTGCACAAAAAAGTTCGGGGAGTGCTGACTTCTCGGAGACCACCCTGGCCGCTCTCCGCATTTCCTCCCCAAACAAGACCCCTGTTGATCACACCACCCTCTCAATTCAGGTCACATTTTCGACCCGGCAGCTTCATTTACTTTACTGGAAGGGACGTTTTACGGGATCATGTACGAGATCGATCGGTCCGCCGGGAAAGTTTGCAGTCCGATGTGTAGGGGAGTTTTGAGTAACTTGCGTGTGTATAGGATCTATCTAGATAGTGGCTTACGGGACATGGCAAACGAACTTCGTTTTTACATTGAGCGTGTAATAATATAGGCGTTGGACCCCTAGAAGATGTTCTGTTGATAGTTCCTAGCGGGTTTGCCATTTATCAGGAGCATATATGAAAATTGAATCTTACAGTCGCAGTTCCTAGCCATCTCGGAGTAACCACTAAGCACATAGGAAGGTAAAGTGAATAGTATTAAATTAAATGATTATTGCCATCTTTCGCTAATAACAAAATATTAAGAGAATTCTAGCTGGCTGAAACACTTCATCTTTTCTTGTATTTTTTTTTCATTCATTGACCCAGAACATATTTCAAGGCCTGGCCACAATTGAGAATACTTCCTCCAAATGGGCGGCCACCAAGTCAGCGCTGGAGCTCCTGAGCTCTGCCAGCACCTTCTCGTCGCCCGCACCCTCGCTCTTATCGTTGACAAGGAAGATACCGCCCTCTGTCACGGGTGCCTTTTCCAAACCGGCAGGCTTCGCAGTTGACAAGGAGGCTGTGCCGTCTACCGTGTACCGGGCATTTGTGGCATGGAACAATGACCTTGCGCCCACGTCTTCCACGCTAGAAGCTATGAAGGTGTTGATGAATGGGGCGATGATCTTCTGGAGAATGAAACCCGTAATGCCGCTAGATCCACGATAGAGAAGTGGGGTGTTGGTGAGACCAGGGAAGGAGTGAACAAAGCTGATTTTCGGGTTCTCCTTGGCCCATCGCTCCAGTGTGAGGGTGAGCATGGATGTGGAGTGTGCAGCAGCGCGGGGAAGAGAGTAGTTTCCGGGTTTGACGAGGCCCAGATCATCCGTGAGCATGGGTCCTTCCAAACCCCCTGCTGCGACGTTGTTTACATGGGGATTCTCCGAGTTGTTTAACAGAGGCAGAAGTTGCTGGATAGCGCGAGCGCGGCTGTAGAATCTCGTAGTCATTGATGGCTCAAGACCTTCAGCAGTGTCTATAGAAATTGTTAGCCTAGCCCTTGGGAGGTGAACGGATGTCAATGCACTAACCTTTTCTTCCCTCGAATGAGATGAAGCCGACAGAGAGAAAGAGGAGATCAACCTTGGTCTCATGCTCCTTCACGTATTCGGTGGCAGCATCAACATCTCGCAGAAGCGAGACATCTTTTTCAATGAAGTGAATGATGGCAGACTCGTCAGTTCGGCGGAGCTCTTCAAGAAGCGGCTCTGATTTCGTTGCGCTTCGACCGACGATGTACACATGGGGAGATTTGCCTTTGGCGGCAGTGATAAACTGCTTCAGGGCAGCTTGTCCGATTCCGGATGATGCACCAATAAACACGGCTGTTACTCCCTGGGGAATAGAGGTGGGGAGTGCCGTCTCATTGGAGGCTCTAATTGTTTGGATGGAAACCATTGTGAATATGGGATGAAAACGGTGATTGATGATTTGTGTATGAAGTTGTCTATTGAGGTAGAGTTTAAAAGATGAGATGAGTTGAGTGTGATGGATGGAAAAATAGATGAGCAACTTGCGCAACAACCAACTATATACTTGCCGAACCTCGATGCATCCTGGTGGCTTATGTTGTCATTCCCATCCGTGCTTCATCAGCCATCCTCGTAGGGCTGGTTCGGTTATCAATCAAAGTGGAACCCCGAAGACAAAGCGACGATTGCTAAGCCTAAATCAACCAATCAGCAGTAGTAAAAATGCTTATTCATAATTCTCGGTCAAAGCAGAAAGAACGAACAGCCAATCAGCTGTCGACATCGCTTCTGCGGCGGTCCACTGTGGGCCGAAGCGCATCATCATAATCATCACGGCATTTCATCTCACAAATACGGAGCTAAAGAAGTTCAACTCTTCTCTTAATTCCGCTTAAGTTCGGTGACCTCAAATTTATGATCATTCAACACAATAACAAGCCGGCGGTTTTGGTTGGTAAACCTACACAAACAAGGTGCCTTAGACCAACTCAAATGAATGTTTGGTGAGCTGTCAAGCTACCTACCCTATAGTCTATCACGCAAGTGCTGAACGCAGGTCGTCGACGTTCCGGAAATGCCAGGTCAAAAATATTGATATTGGCCCTACATATGTGTATTTTACAATTGATGCTAGTTTTTGATGCGAGCTCGCGTTGTTGTGAAGGTACTTTATCAACAGACTTCGAAAGGTTTCGTAATCCTTCAAGTGCCGTCCAATACGTGAAAATAACAGCAAGCTGTTAAGCGTATGAAATTCTCATTGCTAAGCTACAAGCTTTAAGCTAACTTGTTAGAAAGCTAAATTTATAATTGATAACGTTGATTAATTATACTAGCGAAAACCACCTGATGTTTACCCCACGCGTAGAAAGAGTCTGCGTAGTTATCCTAGGGTCCGATTTGAAAATCGTGCCCGTGGACATCTCTAGGAATGTTCTGGATGTAACCGGGTCGTCTAACTTGCGCTCCGATTCTAGGAGCTCAAGCCCACTCTTAGAAAGCCGCTCAAGCCGAGGATCATCGTCTGTCAACTCCGATGTTTCTGTATTGTAATACCGATATAAGCCTGTCCGGTCGGGGGAGTTTGAGAAGAACTGTACGACCCAAGGGGATGGCAACGGTCCAAGAAAAGCTTGGTTGTCCTTCAAAGTCAGAGCAAAGCATTCTCCGACTACGTAAAAGTCTTCACTCCCTGGGACAGACCTCAGGACAATAGGGGAATCGCAACCGAGAAAGCAGACAATCTGGTCACCCTTTTTGGTACCAGGCGGTCCGAGTATCAACTCATCCTTGGTGGTTATGATGATTGCTCGACCCAGTAGCAATGCAAGAGAAAATTCTTCGTGGAAGGAGAAAGTTTCCTCCTTGATGTCGCAGAGATCTGAAAACGAATTGAATATTGGAGAGGCATCAAGGTATGATTCCCACTGTTGCAAGAGCTCAACTGTGTTTTCAGGGAATCTGTCTTTCAAGTAGTTGCCGGTGATTGTTCGAGCGAAAACATGCCATGACATACTGTGTGTTGAATCCCTCAGCTTGATCCATTCTGTTATTTCCCTTATAGCCTTGACTGAATCCTGTATTGTGATACCTGGACTCAGTTGGGAACGATGGTTTGGGATCTCTCGGGATATGCCAACTTCACCGCAATATACCCCAGCGATCACCATTCTTCTTTCATCGGCAAAAGAAACCTCACATGCGGAGTATCCGGAAGCAAATTGCCAATCTGCACTTTTCACCGTTGACTTGCTGATAGAGAAGTCAGGCACCCATGATGGGGCATCGACGGTCCGACCCTCGAGTTGGCAGTCCCTCAAGAGCTCTAGCCTTTCAACATGCTGGATATGAGAGCGAACGAAATCGCGATAAACCTTATCAACTCCCAAGAAGTATTGGGGCTGGATTCTAGCCTTAAATGTTTCGGAGAAGAGACCCATCACACCATAGACCCTGTCCCGTTTATTTGAGCATCCCCTATCGTCTGTTCGATGTAGAATGTGGTAGATGGTACTCGTGCTGGTAACGGGGTTGACTAATTTCTCGATAAAACCTAGGCGACGTCTGGAAATGGCGGGATCTAGGGACGATTTACCCCAAAGAGCTAAAATGGCACGGCGGAATTCGACCCAGGCTATCTCGTCGTGTCCACAGCGGAGAACTGCATCTTTGGCCAGTTGGATCTCCTGCACAATCCAGACTCTACTGAACCATGATCGCTGTAGGAGAGAGTTTATTGCTCGCCACGTCTTCTTATCGTACGGTAGTGGTGTTCTGTTATAACACCAGTCAATTTCGGTTGCTCCCGGGGCCGTGAAAGTCCATTTGTCCATCGTCATAACAATTTGCTGGCCTAGGAACGCGAGGGTCTTTATCGCGAGGGTTGAAGATTCTGATTCGGGTCCAAGCCAAACTACTACCCGGGCGGCTTCCTTGTAAATGGTCGCCATCCGCTTAACTTGCTCATCTCTTTCTGATATGTTGTCTTGATTGATGCATACAGCATCAACCCAAAGAGTGCGAACACGGTCGGGAAGCCGTAGATACCTGAGAGCACACTCAAGATTGACGCCGATCGACATTGTCTCGACTGGTTCTGATGCAGGATCTGAGAATCTGGGAACAACTAAAGCAGTCCGAGTCTCGGTGCTGGTCCCCCAAGTATAAGACAACGCTTCGAACTTGGTCGAGTTTCTTTGCTGCAGTATTTGATAAGGCGATAAGTCAAAGGCGGGGTCTGGGTGTGTCCACTGAGATGCCCATCCGCCTTCATCATTCTCGTAGTAGAAGTATATTTGATTGCTTGTCTCTTGGTAAACCCACCAGTCCGGAGGCAGCGTCTTCCTCAAAGAACTCAAATCTACGGAGGATCTTTGAGGCTTCTGTGATGGGACGAGGGGCTCGTGATATATGCTAAATTTGATGTCATCGCCAAAATTTCCAGGGTGCAGCTCAATTAGTCGAAAGTGCAGGGAAGGGTCTTGCAAATCTTGATAGCAGTATGTCGTCATTCCTTCAAGAGTTGCCATTGTGCTTTACTCTTTTTGCCTGTTACCTGAGACAATATGAGGATGGAGTTGTGAAATAAAAACACTCAGAGAACAAGCAGCTAGGCTGCCAGCCCTGCTCGTCTTTAAGGAATATTCAGCCACGTGGGTGCACGTCTTTCCGTCGCATACCTCGGTGAAGTGGTAAACCAGCCGACCTAAAATGACATGCACGGATATGATTGGCGCGGAATTTGCTTTACCAGGGCTGAGAGAGAGATCCCTTGAATCTGACCACCCTCAAAGGCAACCAGTTGCCTCGCGAGGCAGCAAGATGTATGACCACTGGACTAGATAAGAGAAAATACGGTGATTATTGGCTCACACTTCCTGAAGCTCTTGAGCACTTTCTTTTGAGTTGTTTTGCCTTGGCATCTCAGAATTGATTATCAAGACAATTACGATATAGGCAGCACAGTCCTTTCCATGGTAAAAGGTGTGTATACGTGACTACGCTAAAGCTCGATGAGTAAAATTATATTTCCTGGCTGTAGAAAGTTGTCGGATATACCGGCACATTACTTCGCCTCACCATCCCCTAACACCAATGGGGAAGTTTGCCGAATCGCCGTGGGAATCTCAGATAAAAAAGCAACTAGGTCGTCTGGTAGATATAAGGTAGAGCACAGCAAAGAAATAGAAGTGAAATGGGGTGAACAGGTAGTTTCGGATTCTGATGATTATCTTAGACCAAGGTCCTACGTCGATTTGAAGTCAGACTTGAGCCAGACGAGCCTCGGAGGTACTCCGCCGATCATTTTTCAACGCTGACTCTTATAGAGTGAAATCATCATTCGGCGGTTTTGATTGCTCAAACACCGATACCGGGGCCTTTCCCCAGATAGCTTCGGGAATACTGCGCGGAAGATTGCCGCCTGTAATCTACAAGAGCACCGATCGTATCTGCTAAACCATTCTACTTCCTCTTTTTTCTTTTCTTCAGATAATGAGTCATGAACGAATCTGCTCATCAAGATGCGTCCTAGCCAGCTCACCAAGGCCGAGAAGAGCCTGCACGATCAAATCAACATACTCCCAGGCAAACAGCTACTCACAGCTTTTGGAACTCTTTCTGCCGCTCTACTCATTGCTTGCATTGACCAAAATGGTATTTCGGTCACGCTTCCCACTATTTCTCGCGATCTCAGCGCGGAATCCACCATTTCCTGGGCTGGTACCGCGAGCTTGCTTGCCAACACCACCTTCCAAATGCTGTATGGGCGCCTCTCGGACATTCTTGGACGTAAAACAATCTTCATTGCCACAATCTTGATTCTCTCAGCTGCCGACCTACTCTGTGGCCTTAGTAAAAATGCCCCCATGTTCTACGTTTTCAGAGGCATTGCTGGCATCGGGGGCGGTGGCATCACCAACCTGAGCATGATCATCGTCTCTGACATTGTGACACTCGACCAGCGTGGGAAATACCAAGGCATCATCGGATCCATCGTTGGCTTTGCCAATGTTATTGGACCTTTCATTGCCGCACTCATTGTTCAGAAAGCTATCTGGCGTGGCTTCTTTTTCTTGCTCGCGCCTCTCTCGATATTGGCAGCGGTGTTGACTTATTTCTTCTTACCCTCGAAACCACCAACAGCAGATTTCAAATCTAGTATAAGCAAGGTGGACTGGGCCGGAGCTCTCTTGATATCTGCAGGGGTCATCTTGCTTCTGATACCTATCTCAGGAGGTGAGCAGGATTCATTTTAATCGTCGGGATATTAACGTGATGGCGCTTGCTAATGAACAGGCGGATCTTATTTCCAATGGTCTTCTCCGATGATCATCAGCATGCTCGCCATTGGGTCCGTTTCTTTTATTGCTTTTGTTACTTGGGAGTGGAAGCTGGCGAAGCTCCCTCTCATGCCAGGTTAGTCCAGCTACTTTCCCTAGCTAAAGATCCGTTCTCACAACCCTTTTAGTGGACATCTACAAGAACTATGCGGTGTCCATCATGTTAACACAAAGCTTTCTTCTTGGGGCTGTGTATCAATCATACTTGTACTACGTTCCACTTTACCTTCAAAATGCCCACCAGTACTCAGTTATGACATCTGCACTGTTATATATGCCTATGGTCATTTCCCAATGTATCTCGTCCATTCTCTCTGGACAATACATCAGCAGGTTTAAGAGGTACGGGGAAGTCATAATGTTCGGCTTTGGGACATGGACCCTGTAAGTGGTATCAGCAAGCTCCCATCAGACGATCTGCTAGTTGCTCACCTTGATCAAACAGCGGCGCGGGACTTGCGTTGATATTAAAGAGGGACACGCACCCCGCAGCCATTGCAACAATATTATCTGTTGTTGGCGTAGGGGTGGGCAGCGTTTTCCAACCGACACTTATCGCCCTTCAAGCCAACTCACCAATTTCTCGCCGTGCAATCATAATTTCAAACCGAAATTTCTATCGCTGCGCCGGTGGTGCCTGCGGATTGACTGTATCTGCGGCCCTTCTACAAGCTCGCCTCCGTTCGGCCCTACCAGCCGAATACAAGTATCTTGCCACCTCAACATACTCCGTGCCAAGTGCGGGAGAGAGTCAAGTTCCAGGTGTTTTGGACGCATACATGGCTGCGAGCCACAGCGTCTTCATATTGCAACTGCCGCTTATTGGCTTATGTTTTCTTGGCACCGCATTGCTTAAGGATCGTGGCTTGGAGCCGGTAGAGACTGATCAGCCAAATGAGCCTGTCGTGTCTCAAGGCTAGGATAACGGTGAGGAACATGCTTGTTTACGGGAGACTCATAAGAACCGTGCAATGGAGTCTCTTCAAGAATACCTGTTAAAATGCTTCAAGCGTATGGGTGTTGGAAGAACAGGTAACGATACAGCCTATGTTGCCTCTAACCCTGCAGTTGACGATGTGAATGTTCGGCTGGATAATCAATGTCAACAGATACACTCCACGGTTAATTGGAAGACCTGGAGGGAAGTGGACAAAGGGAAAGTGGTCTTACTGAAGGAGAAAGACCAGGCGACCTGGCCTGAAGATCTTGTCCTGCTTACCTTCAGACTTAGATAGCTATGAATCGTTTACTTAGTCATAAAATATAATGTGGACAAATCTTTCAATACCTCCGTCCCTACGTGGTAGGAACTTGGATAACGAACACTTTGATTACAAAGCATGACCAATTTAATGGTCATTTGCTACTTCCAATTCTCATATGATAATATAGCGTAACATCCAAGACAGGTTGGTTCTTTGAATGCAATCTCATGCGATTCCACTTGCCGTTTTGGAAACCTTGGCAGTTTTCAAGATCCTGCGGTGAGTGTGCCTCCGGCGTAAATTTCAAGCCCTTAGTCGTATGCGTGCAGGCTTGGCCATAAGCTAATGTAACTGTAGATGGATAGACATGCTAATGGGACACTTCTCCTTGGACGATACACACCTTGTTTCACGCTGTATAGTCTGATGTGAGTTGTTGTCTGCTAAGCGAGAAGTTGCCAGCGGTTATCAATCCTGGTTAGTTGGGGAAAGACAACAAAGCGGAAGATTGAACTCCGCTCGTTTGGAAGCATTAGCCCTGAGACGAGGGATGCGGTTCCAAAATTACCTTTTTTGGGAGACATCACACCGACGCGTAATAATCATCTGACCCGTTGAGGGGGTGCGTATGGGGCTTTTGTCAATATTTCCCAATGGCGTAGTAAGCCGGACATCTGTGAGTGACTGAAACGGGTAAGAGGCAATGTGTTGCAGCCTCTGTTATGCCGGGAACGCGGTCATTTGGTTAAGCATATTGCCTTCTAAGCATTGGCGAGCTAGATATATAAAGAAGAGGTTGGGAGGGGTCAAAAAGCAACTAGAAGATAAGTGATTCACGCTCATATCTTTATTGTTCTTGTCAACCTCTGGTCTCTAACTTGTTCAACATGAAATCTATCTCTGTCGTGCTTGCTTTCGCTGCGGCCCTGGCAACTGCAGAGCCAGATACCTTTGAGTTTGCCAATTTGTACATGCTAGGCCGTGGAAACTTCACCAATCCTGTTGGAGATCGCGAAGGTGCCTTCTTCACTTTGGATGAATGGACATCTCGGGACATAGCCTGCAATCCTGCATTCAAGACGATCCCAACTGATCGAGTCGATGGCGAATGTCTGTTGTACACCATGGTACCAGGGCAGGGAACCGTCACTTCGCCTTATCCTCTGGACTTTTCAATCGATGAAATCATTGACGACGCCAACATTCGCGTAACCCTCTATCATCAAGAGGACGGGTGAGCTTGAGCCCTATTGTGGGACCTTAATCTTTGATATGGTGCTGACGATTTCAAAAAGTCGGAAGGGGAGCGCAATCGTGCCCTTGGTTTGTAAAGCTTCATCAGGCAGTTTCCATTGCGACCAAGACTGGACCAACGAGCTATTCATTACTATAAGCTAGACACTTCCATCAATGCGAAAGCTAGTTATTTATTATGTGTTCTCGTAGATATTGGTCACCTTACTCTACTATTGAGCACATGGCAGGAGATTCGATGGCCTGACAAATTGAACTCCGTCTGATAGGCGTTGACCAAAGTGACTTAACCCCTGCTGGCACTGCGGACTTGCTACGGTAGCTAGAAATGGAGACAAACATTTTGGCCGAGCAGTTCTGCTTCCTTAAGGTCGGTGCGTCTCTTTGCTAATGACCTAAATATGGGCATAACGTGATATATTATTAGGTCGGGGAAACCAGACCAATTTTGTCTAAATTCTTCCCGATCGAGGATAACCAACTTTAATGTGGAAGATCATAATTAATCAAGGCGGCACCGGTAAAGTCAATTTGTGCAAGCTACATAGAAGTAGGTACAGAAGCAAACTAAAATGATAGATGATAGAGCGGCTTCCAGAAGGGTATGCTATGGGGTTGCTCTAAACACAAGACTCTCCAATCTGGAGAGGAAGGCTTGACCATTCCAGACGCCAATCCTTGGAATCTGGCTTACAAGGCCAGACTCGGCGAAATGCTCGCATGGGGTGACAGTCTCTTGGCGTTGGTTCGATTCCATTCTCTAACAGGTAGGCATCTCGACGTTCATCCAATTCTCTTCCTTCCTTATCCCGCGCTTCCCTGGCTTTGAGACCCAGTTCCCTAATGCTGATTATGTTCTCATTGTGCCGAGGAACACGTTCGAGAAGCCATGAGCGACTCAGGTTTTCGACAATGTCCCCAATGTTACCCCCCGACGTGGTATTACCAAACTTCCCCCCTCCCGTGGTCCAGATTTTAAGACACTCCAACTTTCTCCCCATTTTGTCCTGGCAGATTATCTCCCAAATTGATCGTGCCAGCCTTTCGTCCACGGCACAGTTCATGAAAGCTTCACGTAAATGGCCTTCCTTGAGCCACTCGCCAAGTACCTCACAGGGTCTATTGTCCTCTTCATCGAATGCAGGCTGGTAAGTAGGATCTCGAACGACCCGCCAGTTAGAGCAATCCAGGGTGAGGAACAGAGATCGCAGACGATTGAATTTGGAGAAGGTTCTATAAATGTCAGCTTCAATCGCATCAGACTTTGTGCGCTTGACAGTGATGGCTAATTTCTCTAACACTGGACACTGGGCTTGGATTTGTAGAATATCTTGCTTCGAGAATATCATAGGTATCTGTCGTCGAAACCAACGGTTATCGACCTGAAAAGGGTTCTCGTCTGGGCGTAGATCTAGGCTTTTCACCGTTTGCCCATGTCCGGATAGAATTGCGTCTAAGATTCTGGGGTCCAGGGGGCCGGAGACTGAAAGCTCAGCAAGAGGTCTGATGGCACCGAGAAATTCAATAGCTTGCCTGCTGTAATCAGGCTTCTGAACGTCGGTGTCACAGCGACTCAGTCTGACGATAAGGGTCTTTAGTTGAGGGAATGAACAGTTCTGCGATATCCATTCCATCATCTCACCAGATATTCCGGCTGATTCAGCCCCAAAGCCTCCACCAAGAGCTAGGTGATGCAAGCAGCGAAAGTCTGTCGACTTGGCCCAGCTCTGGAGATCCCCAGACAGGAAACCGTGTACTGAGCCTATGAGGGAAAGAGAAGTCAAAGATCCAACAGACGATCCAGGAATAAATCCCGGGAGACCGTGCCATGGTTCTGGTTGTCGGAAAAATCGCGAGGGCATATATGCCCTGAAGTTGACGATAGTCACTTCTCTCAAGTTAGGAGCAAGACCAGACACAAGGTCCATCATCGCCGCTTGGTTGAAGTCGTCATCTCCATCCGTATCTCGATCAGTACACGCGAGTCTCACCCCATATAGACACGGAGACGTCGCTAAGGCCATTTCATAAGGATACGGGGTATCCCAGAACAGTGTTCTCAGTCGGAATGTCATATGATATAGTTTGCAGCCAGGTTGGTGCTCGTGGAGAGCATCTAGGAGACTGGGTGGGAATTGATTCTGACAGTCATATAATAGCTTGGCGAGACGTGGCAGAAGTTCAATCAAACCAACAACCGGGGCCCATGCCATATCCTCGTCAGAAGCCTTCTGTATGACAGGCTCGTCGTAGATCACATACGCCCCAGATGGGACAGGCTCCTCCTGGGTCAAGATTTCACTCGTACCCGTGGCTTTAAACCACCTCGTCACTGAGTCAATCGCATCTCTCGAATATGCTGCCTCTTTCTTTGATTCGGCATTTCTACCATCATTCAAACACAGGGAGCCTTTGAAGCTCAGGCAGTTGACGTGGCGGGCGGACTCTGTGCGAGACAGAGCATCAACAACACCATCAATGTCGCGCTTCAATGCCACAGGATTACTCACTGTGATGTTGATTTGGTGAAAAATGAGCTTGCTAGCAATGCAATGACATGCTCTACTTGCCAAACTGAATGCGTAAAGACTTGGCTGATGGGACGTAAGATAACTGGCTATCTGGTCTAGTGTTTCTGGAGGAAGGTCTTGTAGGTTGATCGTGGTGGAATCTGGTGTCATGATTGATAAAACCTAACTTAAAGAGGTTTGGCAGGAGTGAGATGTTTTTATGATAACGATGGAGATTCGAAGCCTGACTGTGGGAGGTATTATTGGATATGTAAGAGTACCAGGTGCCAAAGCTTATAAGCTCTTATACAATTAATCCAAATAAGCTTATAGTTGGAAGAATTCCCTTTGGACTACTGTCCGGGTCTATTAGCTGCGCTTAAGAGCTCCAGATAAGTTGATTTGCACGGGATGTCAGCAAAAGACCCCTATTTAAACCGTTCTCAAGATCACGTGATAAGAGATACAGGCCATCCGCAAATGCAACGCCGGCCTTTGCATATATGTATTCCAACATCATTGAGTCATTAATATAACTATAATTTGTATAGTAGATATTATATCATAAACTTCTAGATCCATTAGATTGTCCTGGATATCTATTTCAACCTGGCAGAATGTTGAAGCAAATTCGCCGCGGATAACGTGAATGATACGGGGGACTAAGTTACTGATTGGATTGGAAGTACGGTGCGTTGTGGTTACATTGCAATGTTCAAAACGATCACTACCATATAGGGAGATAGAATTGCCCTTTAAGGAAGTCGATTGCGAATTACAAGGGTCTGGTTACAGTAAGTCTGACGCGTCTGGTTGCACTTAGACTGAGGTGATGTAATATTCAACCTAACAAATATGCCTAGATGTACATATGTCAGCCTGTCAGCACACCCTTATTGCGTCGCCGAGTCGATCCCAGGTATCCTGGAGTATATAGATTGGTAAGGACGTAACGTTATCGCAGACTATAGCTTAATGAAGTGATTTCTTTATTTTCGCTAGTATCGCATTGCATTCCCTTGACCTCTTTCTCACAACAGACAGCTCCTTGGGTCTTAAGACTTGTTTAGGTACCATGTGGCCACGGAGCAATCGGTGTCGACTGTGCAAGCAGCGAAAAATCAAGGTTAGTTGAGTCCAACTCTGTCTGGTAATGCCATTATACTAAGAAGCCATGTGGTTAGTGCGACGAGAATTGGCCGACTTGTGGCCAATGCAAGCGCTCAGCTCGACCCTGTTCCGGCCCACCGACCAGAGTGCCAACTTTCGTTTCTTATAGTCAAGACACGGATGATAAGCAACAGCAGATAGAACAGAAATACTCTTTTGAGAATGATGGTGGGCACACCTTTGTGACCAAGACCTCCAGCCATAGCCTTGACACAAACCCAGCCGTCGTCCTCGTCGAGACCCGTCATCGCCAGGCAAGACGTGGTGGAGGAACGTTCACAAGGCTAAGGCAGACATCGGATTATCGAGTGAAAACTTCGCTTTCCTCGCCCACAGATTTGTTAGCTCAACAGCTCGTTCGAGTTATTGAATCTGATGCAGGCAACAGTCCTATTCCACGAAAGGCTTGGCTTCGTCTGTTGCCATCACGACTACCATCATCGCCGATCCTTTGTGACGCAGTTCTACTTTTCTCAAACTGCTGGGACAAGTCTCTGCAAAACACATCGATCTCTCCCTTTGATCATCATGCCTACCAAAAGGCTTTGGGCAGTCTTCGACCGGCGATTGAGTCACAGCCGAGCCTAGATACGCCTACTGCTGCCGCTATCTTATTGTTGCAATCCTCTGAGTTCTACTTCAACCTAGACCGGGAAGCAAGCCAAGTCAAACACATGGCGGGGCTTCAAGCTATCATAAGCATCAAGGGGCTACCATCACCCCTCGACGAATTGGACCTACACCTATTCTGCGATAGTGTTGGAACTATCGTCCTCAACATGATTCTCGACGGTGATGACGATGCGTTTCGAGGACCGCGCATCGTTAACGCTATGCACTCTGCACTTCACGAGGATATAGAAACACAAGGAATAAGCTCGGAGCAGTACCGCCTGTGTCTGTTCACGATATACTGGTGCAAGCTTGCGTCTAGCCTGCGTCGTGTTATCCAGGCGTCTGCCATAGACTCAACCCTGACACTGATGGCTGAGGCAAAAGAAGTTGCGGATGCATTAGTCCGATTCGAAGAGGAGAAACTGGCACCGATCTTGGCGGATAGGACTAAAATATGGACTGTGCCTGATGATAGTGTCCCTGGCGGTTTCGCGTACCAGTTCTCTGACGAGAGTTACTGCGAACTCCTTCTGACACTTGTTACGATTAATATCCCGGTCTGTCAGATCCTGCTCTCCACTTGCGAGCTTCTTGCTCTGCCAGGTTATCACCTGAGCCAGCGGCTTCAAAAATTGAGCAAGCGCATGTGGATGTCGATACCATACGTCCAAAGCAGGTCCTTGGCACAACAGGGCAGCACGGTCGTGCCTCTGATACTCTCGTTGGAGCATGCTAATTCGGCATGGAGCGACAGTCTGGTAAGGACGATAGTCGAATTTTTGGGTCCTCGATCTGTGTTCCTGCCACCAGAGCCGACCGATTTCCTTTTGGATCATGCAATGCGTCTCACTGGGCGAGCTCCTACGTAGGTATCTGGCAACACGGCCCTCCGTGGGGGTTCAAATAGCTTCAGCCATTGATCCAATATAATGATTAGAAACTAGGTATATGAGTTCAATTTATGCATGTCTTACACTTCTCTCCTATAGGTTCGGTAATGATCTTCACTTATTATTGCTCCAATTCTAGCATCTCAGCTAAGCCTCTGAACCCTTTCAATATACCCAATGCCTCTCTAATACTCACGACTTCGCGATTGTGTTTTTGGCCGGCATCGTTAGATTAACAAGGTAAGACTCAATGATGGCTTGAGCCTCGCCGCTGTTTCCGTAGCTTGCATGACCGTCGCCCTGCCTCGTCAGAAGGGTGGCGCTCGGCATCTGCGCGTAGAGGTTCTGAGCCCAGAGAAAGGAGGACTCTGGGTCGTGTTCGGCATTGACCATGAGTATGGGAGGGGCTTGACGCAGCGCCGTCTCGTTCATCTTCCCTGGCAGATTCTTCGGCTTGAAGGGCCAGTCGATGCATCTTGTATTGAGCATGTATGACTGCGATGCCCCTTTGGTGTGCGGTGCTATGGCGTTTCCGAGGGACTGGCGGTATTCGTTCTGGGCAAAGCTATCAGTGGTCGCATACCAGTCAAGGCACCCTATCACGAGTCCTTGCCAAAGGGAGGAGTTGTTGTCTGTCGCCCAGCCGGACGAGAGCAGAGTGGCGTTTCCCTGCAAGCTTTCATTCAGGGCCTGTCCAAGCAAGCCCCAACCTAGCGCAATTGCAGTTTCGTCTTTATGCGTCAGCAAGCTGTTTCCTTGCACGTTGAAGCGAATGTCCTCCCCGGTAACGTTGGATCGACAGCTCCCGGCGGACGACGTGTTTGCTGTAGCTAGACAGCCAGGAGCGGGGATGGCCTCACTATCAGCCTTCGCCGCCAGGTCAAGAAACAACATCGAGACGTCTTGCCCGTGGAGCGGACAGCACTCTGTGACGCTGCACCATTCGAAGAACCGAACTAGCTCGTCCTCGTATGTGGCGGCCTCGGCGTTTGTTGTGTATATCTCTGTCGAAGTGTGATCAACGTTCCCGTCCATGACGATGGAGCGAATGCTCTCTGGGTAGGTGGCGGCGTATTGCGCAGCAACCTGGGTGCCATAGGATATCCCAAGCCAATTGAGCTTTCCGTCGCCTAGAGCCAATCTGAGTGCTTCGATATCGTGCACAACACTCATTGTGTCAACATGCCTCACCAGGTCGCCAGACAACTCGAGACAACTGCTGGCAAAGGCCTTGGAAGTATCCAAAAGCCTCTGGTACTCCTCTTCATTTTTGGGAAAGAGAGAAGGTAGGTGGTTCCACAGGGATGCATCGCATGATATAGGACTGCTGATGCCCACTCCGCGAGGATCAGGGCATATGATATCAAAGTGGTCTGTGAGCGGTTTACCGAAGAATGGCACGCCTGCAGCTTGGTACTTGCACATTGTCGTGGCAGCACCGCCAGGGCCACCCGGGTTGAACATGAGGCTGCCAAGTTTTTCGGATTTACTGGTAGCTTCCAGCTTCATGAGCCCCAGCGTGATCATCTCTCCATGAGGCTTTGACCAGTCCAGCGGAACCTGGAGTTGACCGCAGTGAAGGCCGTCAGGCGACCCGGCTTCACAGGCAGTCCACGAGATGGAGTTATTGAACGATGCTGTTGGTGGTGAGGTGGCATAGGCTGGTGCAGCGAGGGCAGCAAGCAGAGTGTGGTAAAGTTCAAATTTCATAGTGAAGGTAAACAATCAGGGTAGAGAAATATGAATACGAATGTGCGGTTCAAGGAATGGGCAATTAGGAGATGAAGATATGTTAAGGATCCCTTTACTATAGATACAAAAGAAGGCGTAACCATGGGCATTCAAGGTATTAGTACTTGATTATCTGAAGGATGATAATTTGTTCGTGAAGGTCAGCTGACTAGGGGTGTAAGATTATCACCTCGATCGTAGCTAGAGGATGAACTGCCTAAAGTAGGTATCGTTGGCGAAGGGACTTTGGGCTGATCTTATGGAAGAGAAATGTAGATCAACTCCTGAAAGCAGAGCAACTTGCCGAAGTGTACTGTGGCTGCTGAAGTAAGAGTAGCTGATCCGAGTGAGCCTAGAAGCATTTTAAAAATGGGTGGCAGAAGAGAATTCATGACTTGAGTCGACAGGGACCATATTTATAGTATCCCGTTGTTGATGTCAACCTTAAAAACACTGCACTGTTGAGAAGGCATGTATATTTGTTCTCAAGTTATAGTTTGTTATGAAGTCAAATTTTTTCGCTCTTCAAGTTTCCCACAGCAATAATGAGTTATCTGTGGGCTTGTAAAGGCTTTTGTTCTTTGTCGTCCCGTCGGCCTCGTCATAGCCATGGATGCTGACTAGCATTCCAAGGAAAAAGAAATGAACGGGGTGCGATTTCAGAGGTCTAAACATGAAAGAACTTCTGATAAGCTACCAGTTGAGTTGCCAATCGCATCAGATTCTTGTTCACACAGGACCCCTCGAACCTCTCACCTCAGTGCTGGCATTCAACTCAAAGTCTCTTCATCTACTTCTAACTTAGGCACAGATCCTCATTACCATACGCGAGGATGTATCACGATTCGCTCTAGAGATATTGAGCTGATCGTAATGAGAAGTTCGCACGGTTTGCCGATTACTGTATCATCTCACGGGATTCTCTCGTGAGATCTCACATAACTGTCCAAACCGGGTAAAACTGCTTCGCAGTCATAAACCTATTTGAGTCTGGATAATATTGACATGAGGATATATTAACGACTGCCTCCGGCATCATGAAGACACGATTTATCCTCACGACTCGCAGCAACACACTTAAAACTAAAGACGAGAGCTAAACTGAAAATCGACGGAAATAGTTCACGATGGTCTCCCAACTCATCTCCCAACTCATCTTCATCGGCGCGAGTGCTGCCTCGGTCCTACCAAGAGCCTCTACCGTGCAATGGGGGAAATGTGACGATGGGTTGCAGGCCACTCTACCGGCGCAGTGCGCAAACATCTCAGTGCCCCTGGACTACAAGAGCGCGAACGCCTCGGCAACGTATACACTGCCGCTGCTGAGACTCCCCGTGGCTGCCAACACTACATCAAGAGGATCTATCATAATCAACTTCGGGGGTCCTGGGGAACCAGGGATCCCAACGCTGGCGGCCTCGGCCCAAGCGATTCGGAGGTGAGTAGACGGACTGTTTTACCAGAAGTTGAATCTTCTGACACCCGAGCTGGTTTGCTAAGTTTTACATAGTTCCTTAAGTCCCGACTATGACCTCATCAGCTTCAACCCTAGGTGAGTGCCTTTCTCTATCACCTCAAACCTGAACTGGGATGAGCTTTGTGTGAAACCCATTAGCTCACAGGTCGATTTAGGGGAACAAATAAAGACGAGCTGTTCTTCTCTTGTTATCCGGATGAGGACAGAGCCCGCATCTTCAACCCTGACCCGCTGGCTGAGACGTGGTATGACGAGTCGGATGTGGCGCCCGGTATGATCTGGGCAGAGTCCAAGCTGCGCGCAGAGCAGTGCTTCAAGACCAGGGGAGACGTGGGTGGTCTCGTGGGCACAGCGTTCGTGGTCAGGGACATTGTCAAGATATCCGAAGCTGTGGGCGACGAGCTGATCAACTACTTCGGTGAGTTTCTTGGTGTCTTTTCGTGTCTTCAGATGAAGGTTCTGACTTCTTCAGGGATCTCCTACGGTACTGTGCTTGGGGCCACGCTGGTGTCCATGTTTCCAAATAAGGTGGGCAAGGTGGTGCTCGACTCCGTGGCCAACCCCCACGAATACATCCATGACATGTGAGTAACAGCAACGAAACACCGCTCTCAGAAAGGCACCACTCTCTGACTTTTCTTTTCTGGAACAGGTACGAGCTCGGCAGCCGAGCCAGGACCGATGCCACCTTCGATGCCCTTCTCTCCCAGTGCGTCGCCCAGGGCCCAACCGAGTGTCCTCTCGCCCGCCACGCCTCCACGGCCGCCGAGCTGCAGGAAAAGATTTACGCCATGATCGACGCCGCCCGCGCGAACCCCATCGCGCTACCCCTTGAGCACGCGCGTTACAACACGACAATCGTCCGGGGAACAGTAGTCGACTACAGCACCCTCAAGACCATGGCCTTCCTCTCACTGTTCGATGCCCCCAAACAGACCCGGATGCTGGCAGGCCTCGATGGCGTCCTTCGTGGAGACTGGGCCGCCTATGCTGCCTGGCGGGATGTCCTGGACGACGCCTTTGCGAGCATGCTCGACAGTGAGGTATGTCTGGGCATCATGTGCGGCGACTCGACCCCGCGCTCCGACGACCCGGAGCTCGTGCTGGAAGGGATAAGGGCCGCGAGCCGGATCAGCCGGATCGCCGGCGGCGCAGGGCCCTCGAACGGGCTCGGGCTCCGGAGCTCTATGTGCGCGCAGTGGCGGGTTGCGGCCAAGGAGCGGTACCTCGGGGACTACAAGGCCGTGACCAAGAACCCGGTGCTCATCGTGAATAACAGGTATGATCCGGTCACGCCGTTGGAGTCGGCGCGCAATGTCAGCGCGGGGTTGGCGGGCAGTCGAGTTGTGGAAGTGAACAACATTCGTGTACGTGCATGGAACCTTACCCCTGGGTTCTTGTGGGAAATGTTGCTAATGATGATGAATAGCACGGTGCTGTTGGCGCGGCGTCGAAGTGCCTCCAGGATATCATCGCCGACTTCTATGGGAGCGGCATCATGCCAGAGGTGACTTTGTGTGAGCTCGACGAGCCTCTCCTCCAGACCGACGGGACGCTGGGAGGCCTACAGTAGTGATGGCACCGAATTTTCCAGGTCACGATCTTGCCTCGGGACTTGCAAAGGGTACTTACAGATGTACCGGTGTAGGAGGAGGCGTGAAGTTGGACTAGAGTGCAATTGCTCCTGTTAAATTCCTTTACTACAATGCTTTGTGTTGAGATGTCGGGTTTGGCATCTTCATTTTTTTGCTTTATACTCTAAAGTTCATCAAGTCATTCCTTTGTTGCTTTTTTTCAATTCTTAAGTACTACGCTATTAGAATTCCTTTCATAGCTGTCTTGACATATCGCAAGAAGATATATCCTCGTTTCATATTGACCTACATACCCATTTAGACATCATTATCACAACATTGTGCTATTGGCAGCAATTCCTCAATATCTAAGACTACCACCTAGAGCAGTGTCACTTCAAGAAAGATGAAACAAATATGAAGAGATGTTGACACTTCAGCATTGGCTCTCTATAGGCCTTACACCGTAGTCAGGGGCCATTGCAACAATTCCCAGGCCACCAACATCCCGCTCAATGAGCCTCAATGCCTCTCGCGCAAACGGCGCGGCAGAAGCTCTAACCCTAAGGGCCCATCGTAAGTCCTCAACTCGTGATACGCACCAAGCCACCTCCTCGGGGGTGCTTGCAGTAGCCCACATCAACGCAGTCAGCGAGCCAACCTGGGCTACCTGGTAAGAAGCTGCACTGCCCCAGAAGGCCGCCGTATGCTCGGGCTGTAGTGATTTAAGTAAAGATATAGCGTCTTGGACCTTGGCTCGGGCCGTTGAACGAAGAGCGTAGTGAAGGGGCTCGGGCGTATCTGGTGTTATTGCCCGTATGAGGGCACGGTGTAGAGCGATCTCAACCGATATATGAGCCAGACGCAGTGCCCCGTTCGCGCAGAGCTCTCTATCCTTGGCGTATTCCATGCGTAGATGCTGGGGCAGATCGGTATACCACTCTCGCAAACGCAACACAAGAGGTTTAGCTAGTTCGACAAGGGTGACTGTTCCTATCTGCGTAGCGCCGTAGCCAGAACGTGATGCCGCTGCGTTGTAGAATGTCCCCATGACTTCACTCAGAGCCTTAGTCAGTTCAATGTGCTGCAGAAATTGTGCCCAGCCAGTCGCCGTGGTAGAAGGGTTGGATGGATCCGTAGCAGCCTCTGCAGCCAGCTCTGGATAGTCACCGTCAGTGCATGGCCTCACGCCCCAATCCACGTCGTGGATGAGGAAAGGTCGCCCATGAGCGCAGGCGCCCCATCTATCTTGCATGTATAACGCCCAGGCCAGCCGACGGCGTAGTCCTATTTCCCAATCTGGGATATCCCACGAACTACAGTCCACATGTATGCCAAGATCCTGGGCCATGGCAACGAGTTGTGCAGTGAACATGCGGCTAGACGACGGATGACTGTGTGAGCCAGTCTCAGCATTGCGAGAGTTACGCTGTAGTAAAAGCAAACCGGCCTCCAGTGTGCTGAGCTTAGGGCGTCGCATATCGTGAGCCATCGTGCGTTCAGCCAACTCCTCGAGCGCACTGGGGTTTGGGATGCTTTCCATTTCGCGCCCGGCAAGTGAACTATCGTACAGCTGCCAGTCCAGCGCCACAAGGTAGACTGCGGCGAGCAGAGATGGTGCAAAATGGCGGTGCGATACGCGGTGTTTGCTGATAAACACGTCTTTGTGTAGTATGGGAAAGCTTGGGTGGACAACACGGAAGTAGAGGTCTACCAGTGTCCGACCGAGGGGGCGAATCGCATCTTCGATTGCATCAAGATCTGCAATGCGTTGAGACTCTGACGTCGTCGATCCATCGGTATGCACAACAAAGGCGGTTCCTTCATCAAGACGTCGCGTAAAGCTTCTCGGTGGGTGACCTAGAGAGTTGCTTTCTAGTCCTTGGTGAGTACGATGTAAGTCAAGTAAAATTGGATCGCGGTAATCGGTAGTCCCTATATACTCGGCGTGAGTCTCAAGATCTAGCCCTAGAGTATTGCTCAGGATTCTTGGGCGTGGGGCAGGCGTGCTGGAACGAGGCTGCTGCGTCTGAGATGAAAGCTCTGGACTGATTAGGTTGGATGTGCCATTGTTTTCGATGCTGATTGTCGGAGATGTTGCATTTGTATGTTGGCTAGAGGCTGGAGATGTCTGTACACAGTCCGGTGTTCCATTATCTGGTATTTGAAACGCCCTGGGCTCATTACCAAGGCTCAACTGAGTCAAATAGTTTCTTGACGATGGGACCTGAGCTTCATATTCGATATATCGGGTTGTCCTTCGTTGTCGACGGGTGGGGCCTCGTACATAAGTACAGGGCTGGTCATGAAACGTGCAGAGAACACAACGAAGTTGGCTTGGTTCTTTTACGCAGCGTGTTTTGCGTAGGCGGCAGGTATCGCATGGGCGTGACCTCGCAGACGGGGCTTGTTTCCTTGCGCCCCCTGAATGGCTCGTGAGGTGGCCGTCGGCGGCTTGGGACATCCAATACCTGTTCGTATCCTGAATGCTCCCCGTACGAGGAAGATCCGCAACCGCCGGCATAGCTGATAACCCTCAGTGAAAATGTCTTCGCGGATTCTTGCAGAAGATAAGAGGAGGGTTCGCGAAAACGGGCCCCTGACGGCGGTATCGGCTACCCCAGCCTTGATTACTTGGATTCACCACCAGCACCAGCCAATGAATGGCGCGAATCAGCACTTATCGCATCGTCGGCCAAATCGACGAGATGCCACTGATAAGCACTAGATGGCCGCCGGCCCGGATGTTTCAGCCTACACGGACCCAGAGCATCCCAAATGATTCTAAATCCTAAAGGAACTAGCCTCACTTCATCAAGCATTTTGAACAATGCAATCGATTTCATACTCTATCTAATCTTAAGATTCACAAATATTTCACAGCCCTCGGGGTGGCTTAACAGCTGCCCCCCTGAGGTACACAGCTCAGTGCCTTTCCCCCCCTATTATGATACTATGTCCAAGTTACACAATCTCATAAACTAGAAACGGCCATGTCTCTTCCAACCAAAGACACCATATCAATCGCCGTGGTTGGGGCTCACCTCAAAGGGTTCCCGCTAAACAAAGATCTCACTCATCGCGGGGCAAGATTTGCGACTGAGGCCATGACCTCTCCGCGATATCGGCTATACGCGATTAAATCGACATCGGGCCCTCTGAAACCCGGTCTGCAGCGCATCTGTGAGGATTCAACTGGTGCATCTATTAATGTTGAGATATGGGACCTGCCCATAACCGCTCTGGCATCTTTTATGGATACTATTCCGTCCCCATTGGGAATTGGCAAAATAGAACTACTAGATGGTTCATGGATCCATGGATTCATCTGTGAACCCATAGGCTTGGTGGATGCAGTAGATATAACTTCTTTTGGTGGTTGGAAGGCATACATCAAGTACCTCGGCGAGCAACAAGTCTAACATTAAGAGACGCCCAACCGCATCCAATAATCCAATAAGCCATGAAACCTCGGGCTGAAGAAATTACTCATAGTGAAAAAAGAGCATATGATAATTTTCAATAAATCTCATTCTGCTTGGTCTTTGCAGTTCGTCGTTAAGCTGCTACTGCTTCCTATTCATCTTCGCTTCAATCGTTCTAGCAATATCTAGCAACCTTCCATCCATTCCTTTGCCAGCAATCAGCCCCAGTCCAAACGGCAGGCCTCCATCAGTCCACCCAAAAGGAACGGATATGGCACAAAGGTCAAGCACATTGGCAAAATGAGTGAATGTACCTAACTGTGCATTCAAAGTGAGTGGTTCGGCCTCCATTTCCTCTATGGTAGGATGGCATCCAACAGTCGGAACCACTAACACGTCAAAGGCGTCTGACACATCACGGAGGTGGCCCAACCCAAACAGTCTTTCGGCCTTTCTTGTAGCTTCCTTCTGAAGAGCTTGGTCCTGGAATACCTTCCATGCAGGCTCATTCCTATTGAAGACATCTTGGAAAAGGGTCTTGATTGTTGGGTGGAGTGTTTCCATTTTCTGGCTGAGAAATTCATAGCCAATAGATGCAATTCTTTCTTGGACCAGTGTCCCTTTATAAAGAAGTTCAGTGGCTGTGTTAAACGGTTCATAAGCCTCGTCGGATAAGCATGTGCGTTTTTTACTCGAAATGCTTTCCATCGCAGTGATGGCCGCATCAAAACACCTACGATACTCTGGCAAAACCGACTTCAGAGCGGACTCAGGTGGAGTGCAGAAAGCGAAATTGCCAGGAACACCGTGGTAATTTGATAATGATAGTGGCAGGGCTTTGCGGTCTTTCGAAAAGACATCGTCATCATCTGGCTGGTCTAATATGTGCCAAACCTTCCGAGCGTCTTGGACAGTTTCGGAAAAGATAGAGACGGTGTCCAAGCTCCGGCAGGCTGGAACCACGCCTCGAGCTGAGATTGTACCCTTCGTTGGCTTAAAGCCCACAATGCCGTTCAATGCAGCTGGCACACGGCCACTCCCAGCTGTGTCCGTACCAAGTGCAAAAGTTATCAACTTGGCTGCGACGGCGACGCCTGAACCAGACGAGGAGCCACCTGAAATCCGTCCATTCCCATACACACTTCTGAGATTTCCATATGGTGATCGACAGCCACTTAGTCCTGTAGCTAATTGATCCATGTTTGTTTTTCCAATCAGAATAGCGCCGGCAGCGACCAGGAGCGAAACTACTGGGGCCGACTCGGTTGGAACATATTTGTACTCCGGGCAGGCAGCAGTAGTAGGGAGATGAGCAACATCTATGTTGTCCTTGACCGCAAAAGGAACGCCGTAGAGGAGAGGGAGCTTTTCAGTCGGCACGTCTGAATATGTTTGCCTTAAAACTTCGGCATCTGCCATGATTTCCTGCTCGTTTCGTAGATGTATCCAAACATTGGGGTTGGTCTGTTCATAGTCTTTGATACGGCTCAGGACACTCTGCATAACGTCCGGTGGATGAAACGCACGCCCTTTGTACAGTTGTCGCAAGCTTTCAAAGTCCAGATTGATATTTGCGATATCTGGAGGTGTGATTGGTGGCGTCGTAACATCAGTGATCAAAGCCGGTCCCAGAGCAAGGAACTCTTCGCTTTCGGCTGTGAACCCAAAGAGTCCATCATATGAAGAAATCATGTCCAATGAATTCGCCACAAAAGCTGGATTAAACCCTCCCGTTCCATCTCGAAGAATACAACACTCGAATCCACGGTCATTGGCCTCGCGCGCTGTTGTAGTGACGCAACATTCGGTAGTCACGCCACAAAGAATCAGATGGGTAACTCCACGTGCCATAAGAGCTCGGTGGAGGTCAGTGGCCCAAAAGGAACCCTTTCCAGGTTTGTCGATGACTATCTCCTCGGGCAAGGGCTTCAACTCGTCCACGATGTCGTGGCCGTACTCGCCACGCACGAGTAGCCTTCCCATCGGGCCTTGATCGCCGATTCCAGTGCCGTGGTGGCCATCAGGAGCGTTCATTTGTCTTTCTTTCTTGCTGGAGCTCAAATCTGATAGGTCAGGCTTGTGCCCTTCCCGAGTGTGGACAACATGAAGGCCGAGAGCTCGGGACGTATCAAGGACTTTCTTGATGACTGGAACGACATTCCTCACCGAGGCGAATACCTCATCATCTCCGCACTGTACCGATCCAAAGCCTTTGGGATCAACAAAGTCACGTTGAACATCGATGATGGCCAGAGCTGTAGTAGTAGGGTCAAACCTAAATTGGTATGGTTTCGCCGTTTTCAGGGCAAACGAACTTGCGCTGGGGCTGTTCATGGCTGCGATATAGGTGAGTGAGAATGCTCGGCATGGTAAACTTAGTGTTCTATGTTATCTTAATATTTGCGGCCGCGAATACTTGACGAGTCCCTGTGGACTTTCCTCGAATCTAGGGTATGGCAGTCTGATTCTCTGAGCCAGGCGCCGGCGGCGGCCGTAGGCTGGGACACAAGTTTTTACGTAATGCCAAATCAGAGCCATGGATTCTTGATACGATAACACTAATAGAACCCCCAGTCCAGCGTCTTGGTGGTGTGGAGTGCCCCGGCCCCGGACTCTGGTAGGGGTGAGACCAGGGATACAGTAGACAGGCACCTGGATATGCCCCTCAGAGGCTCCTATTTTCTACCTCTATTACACGTTATTATCTACTATGATCACAGAATGTATGAGTGACCACTATGGGAGAGTTCGAGTATAAAGTAGAGAACAGTAATAGAAGAGATAAGACCTGACATCGTAACACAGTCACTACAAAGTATATCGGTTATGCTTGGGCTATTTGCAAACCACGCCCAAGTTGTACGGGCATACTAACCGTGGTGACAATGTTCGCGGGATTAAATTATGTGAACTCTTTCCTTTTTGATAATTATTCTCTATCTACCCAACTAAGCAGCAGCTCGGAGCTCCTGCTGGTCAACTCGGCTTGCACTGAGTCTCTTCCAGACGTAGTCTCCTGCCAGCACTGGTTCATATTTGCTTGCCTCGTTATCTTTAAGACAACTCTCGATTGTGCGAATCGTAACATCGTAGTTGGCACCAAAGAAGAAAGGAACTGAGATCCTCTCTTTACCAGTAATGTTCCAGACTCTATGCACTGTACTGACGAAGCGATCGTTTGTCCATCTTGCCAGCATATCACCAATATTTACCACAAAAGTGCCGGGAATCGGCGGTGCTTGGATCCACTCTCCGTTGGTGTTGAGAATCTGCAGTGCTGGCACAGTTCCCGGGGCAAGGATGGTGAATAGCTCGATGTCAGTATGGGCACCAATACCCAGCGCATCTGTATCAGAGGGGCTTTGGGGAGGGTAATGTATCAGTCGACCCATTGCCCCTGGTGTGGAGACCAGCTCGTCAAAGTAGTTTGGGGGCAGACCGAGAACCTGCGCGAAGAGCTGGATCATCCCTCGTGCAAGAGATAGAACCTCAGCATAATATTGGGAAACAACATTCTTGAATTCGGGCATATCCGGCCATACGTTAGGCCCTGACATAGGGTTGTCTGCCCATTCTGTTACATATTAGATGACAGAAGGGACCAAAGCCTTGGGCTGAATCTTACCTGTTGTGGCCTCCGTATCATTCCAAAGAGGATCAAGTTCTTTCTCGTAACCCCAGTTGAATGCTTCGTTTACATCGGGCTTGCGATTCTCGTCTGTTCGCACCTCGGCTGGGGGCTCATAGCCTCGAAGGATCTTGCTTTTCTTGTAGTTGATTTGGTTCTTCACCTCTTTCTCTTGGGCGAAGAACTTCTCCGCCATGCTGAAAATGGCTTCAATCTTATCGGCGGGTACCCCATGATCTTTGATGTAAAAGAACCCCACACGAGTGCAGGCATCCTTCAACTGATCCAGGAGCTCCTGTTTGGGAGCCTTGAGGGAAATGAGTGGGATCTCATCGAAGCTAGCGGTTCGAGCTGTGTCAGACTGTATCTCTCGTTGAACAGTTCCGCTGTAGGAGACGAAATTCAAGTTTGCCATCTTGAAGAGTGGAAATAGGGAAATTGAGAGGATAGTTGTTGTGTCCGCTAGCTTAGATGGAGTTGTGTTGATCAGTGCTGTATTCGCAGATGTTGTCTTGTCTCTTAGAGCGTCTCAGTTAGGATAGTTAGATAGAGTGATGAGAGGAAGTACCTTCATATGACAATATTATAAACATGCCCGCGTCCCCTCCGGCTCTAATTACTAAGTAACTGGGCCAAGCCAAGTTGATGATAAGATATCGTAGCTTCGTGCCGGCGGCCGGTGCCAGCAAAATGCGCCAAATCTTGGCCGGCGGCCATCTCAAAGTGGGCAGTCTAGGCATGGATGACCCATGATGAGAAGCGATAAGACACATCTCCCCATACCCAAACAGGACTTGGCAACTTGTCCCCGCCATCACCCCACAGATACGGAGTAGACCACCAGTATCTTAGCAAGTGTCTTGGTAGTAGGATGTTCTGCCATCATTTGGGTATCAGGAGTTCATGAAATCTATATAGACTGCCCTTCCGAGAGGAGTAAATATTTTGCGTCACTTACAGATTGTCTGAGTTTTTGATAGTCTCTCCATTCCTCATTCCATCTTCAAGTCCAGTTCTGCCTAGATGGAAGTGTTGCGAGCAAGGGCGTCCGCTATCAAAGCGGATGCCACCCGCAAAACGAGTCGCCATGGCTGGGTTCTTGAGAAACAGCCAATGACATTTGCAGATGAGCACTCTTGGAGTAACCGAGACACTGATGTCACCCCTTTGGAGCGCCGTACTTGGACAAGCTGGACAGTGCTCGGGTACTGGATGAGCGACGCGTTGTCGGCTCAGAGCTGGGCTGGTGCGTCTGCAATCATCGCCGTTGGCTTGACATGGTATGTACATGTAGCCTTGCTACCACAAACCTAATACTCCGTTACCCGACCCCTAATACTTACCTCTGGATTCTACGCGCAGGCGAGAGGCTATCTACTGTCTTATATTGGGTACTTTCACTGTGACTATTCCATTGTGCCTGAACGGCGCAGCCGGTGCTGAACTTCATGCCCCGTTCCCTGTCATCGCGCGCTCTGGATATGGGTTCTATTTTAGTCGATTTGCTGTGGTTATCCGCATGGCAACCGCACTCTTCTGGCACGGTACGTTCTGTCCACCTTCATTTAACTGGCTTTTGGCAGCATATGTCTAATTCAACGCAGCCATTCAAACTTACTCTGGCTCGACTGCTATGACACAAGTCATCAGAGCTATTTGGCCATCTTATCTTAACATTCCCAATCATCTACCAGCCTCGGCAGGAATAACCACCCAGCAGATGGTGTCTCACTTCCTGTTTTGGTCTGTTCAGTTCCCCATCCTCCTGATTCCGCCACACAAGCTTCGATGGTTCTTCGTTGCAAAGACAGTCATTGTTCTGACTGCTGCTGTGGGAACTGTAATCGGAATGAGCAGACTGGCAGGTGGTACAGGCGACATCTGGGACCAACATCCCACAGTATCAGGATCTACTAAGGCTTGGCTTATTGTTTCTTCCATGAGTAGCATGACAGGCGGCTGGGCCACAATGGCTACTAATGTGGCTGATTTCACACGATACATGAAGAGGCCACAGGGCGTTTATTGGCAGACGTTATTTGTGCCAGGAATTTGTACACTGCTTGGGGTGCTTGGGATCATCAGTACTTCAGCAGCAAAGGTGGTTTATGGCGAGGTGAGTCTTTTTTCAACCTATCAAAGACTAGATGAGATAATTTTTCTAACGATTTTTAGTACATCTGGGATCCTCTCGAACTTGCCTCCCACTGGGATGGGTCCTCCGGGAGAGCTGCGGCGTTCTTTGTCGGAGTATCATGGTGCGTCGCTCAAATCGGAACGAACTTGTCTGCCAACGTAATCTCCTGCGCCAACGACATGACCAGCCTGTGGCCAAAGTATATCAACATTAAACGCGGCGTTGTGATTACAACGGTTACGGCTGGCTGGATCATGGTGCCATGGAAAATCATTTCATCCGCCGCCTCTCTCCTTAACTTCATGGGGGCACTGGGCGTTTTTCTCGCCCCCATTGCTGCAATCCTGGCCTGTGACTACTGGGTAGTCAAACGGAGGGCAATCGACGTGCCTGCTCTATATCGCAAGAATGGCCGATACAGTTATGGAACCCGAGCGGGCACAAATTGGCGAGCTGTTCTGGCCATGCTGGTGGGAAGTGTGCCGAATTTGCCTGGTCTCGCGGCTGCGGTGAATCCGAGCCTGGATATTGGGGGTGCCAAGAATATCTTCGACATGTTCTATCTTTATGGCTTTACTAGCACGTTTCTCGCTTATGGTGCCTTGAGTTGGGTTTGGCCTGCTCACGAAACCTTGGTTGAAGCGACCTTGCACGAGGAGGTCATCATTGTAGATGGAATGGAGGTGACCAACGACGGGCTTCATGATCACATGGGTGCAAAGTCGGTGCCGGCAGAAACTATCAAAGCAGCCGAAGCTTAGCTCGCTCGAAACAGATCGAAATAATTCTTAATGATCCTCTCAATTTCTGGTATATGAAGCTCAAGTAGAATAGGAGACTTTTGTCGGTCATTACGAGGCTACTCTTCAAAGTGTTAATATTCTCATATGATTTATCGGTATTAGCTCACTCCTCAAACGCTCACAAGCCTCTCTTCTCCAACTCGGTGCATTAACATATATTCCTGATCTATACAAAGCTTTATCAGTGTAAGACTTTTACTATAGTAAATTTAAGGAGGCATTAATAGTTCATATGGAATTCTTAGCATTAGTACTATCTTCAGCGGGCGATTTATAAATAAACACTTTCGGGGGCCTAGGATAAAGCAAATCAGAGCCTGTGTCGTATTCACACTTTCGGAGAATGACGACTCCGAAGATGACCTTGGGAAAGTGCGGGGAAACCATCGTAAGAGTCCGAAGATGAAAATGGAGCCATCTTCGACTCTCGGACCAACTCCACCTCTTCGCATATGACAATGTGATACAATACCGAGCAAGTTATTTATATACTGATGCTGGTATGCTGTAACCACGCTGGGCTATTTTGATATTCCCCCGCTTGCTACTCTCTTGAAAATCTTTCGCAACTTTTTCTATCCACCATCATTTCCCCCGCGCCTACTAAATCTGCCCAACATGAAGTACGCACGAATGCCTATCGAGATCGAATCCCCCGAGGAATACGGATATGACAAGATCAAGTATAACCTCTCAGAGAGCTCCTGCCCCGACCAGTCCCTCGAGTCCCTAAACCTCAAGATCCCGAATCTCACTCTCCTCTACAACGAGCACCGCGGTGGCTCGAAGCTGCGGCAGCTCATCGCGGAGCAGTCCGGCGTCACCAAAGACGATGTACTCATCACGTCTGGAGCGGCGGGCGCGCTCTTCATCATCGCCACGTCGCAGCTCACGGCTGCTGACCATTTGGTGGTGATGAGGCCCAACTACGCGACCAACTTGGAAACGCCTAGGGCGATCGGCTGCGAAATCAGCTTTGTCGATCTCGAGTTCGGGACCGGATTCCAACCCGACATTGCGGCCCTAAAAGCTACTTTGAGGACCAATACCAAGATTGTGTCTATTACCGCGCCGCACAATCCCACTGGGACTTGCATCTCTAGGTCTGATCTGGACGAGCTTGTTGCCATCACCAAGGCGAACGGTTCCATCCTGCTCGTCGACGAGACGTATCGAGATGTCAGCTACACTACTCCTCTCCCCGTCGCCTCGTCTCTCGCCGACCATGTCATCAGTGTGTGCTCTCTATCCAAGTCGTACGGTATTCCGGGAATCAGATTGGGTTGGTTGACCACGCAGAACAAGAAGCTGCAAGAAACGTTCCTGGCTGCCAAGGAGCAAATCTCCATTAGTGGAAGCGTGATAGACGAGTGGATTGGCGAGTCTGTGCTTTCCAGCAGAGACAAGATCCTCTCCGCCACCAACGCGGAGCAAAAAGCTCGCCTTGACATCGTAGCGGACTGGATCGAGAAGGAAGACCTGTTAGAGTGGGTTCGCCCCGTCGGCGGCGTGGTTTGCTTCCCTCACATGAAGACGGAGCCTGTTGGCGGCACCACGGCGTTTTACAAGCGCTTGCTGGAGGAGCATGGCGCCTACGTCGGGCAGGGACACTGGTTCGAGATGCCAGATACCTTCTTCCGCGTCGGCTTCGCGTGGCCAACTAGGGAGGAGCTTCGGGGCGGCCTAGCTGCTATCTCTCAGGCCCTCCGTGGGTAAGTAACCACGGATAGATATTAGAAATTACAAGCTTAAGAGGAATTGGAGCTCGAGTAGTTTGACTTACACGATAAGAAACAACAATCGAAGATGCTAGACCCGACATCTGAACATAATGTGAGGAATATCGTTGCGTGAATGAAGAATTTACATGTCTATTTGGTTATGAACGATCTATTTTTGATTTATTTTTTCTTTGTTTTTGACTACCGCCAGTAAGTGGGAGCTTCCCCTCTAGCCCTTGCCCAGCCCTTGTCGAGAGCTTCCACGACAGGCTCTGGTAGAGGCCCCTTCTCGAGGGCCTCGACATTCTGCACCAGCTGGTCGTAAGAGCTAATGCCGATAATTACACCGTCATTGCCGCCCTTGGAAGCCGGCTTCAGCTTGCTGTGGTGGATACACCAGCGCAGGCCGACCTCAATTAGGGGGATATTGTGCTCCTTGGCGACCGGCTCGATAATGGCCAGGGCCTCCATCGTCGATTGCTTGAAATAGCGCTCCATGTAGAGCTTTCCCAGGTTGTTGGTGCTGCTGAAACGGCCCTCGGCGGGCTGCTCGAGGGTGGAATACTTGCCACTGAAGAGGCCGGCGGCGAGGGGGTTGTAAATTACGAGGTCAAGCCCGAACTTGCGCAGGCATGGCTCCAGCTCAGCCTCGAGGGCCCGGGCTATTTGTAGCTGTTAGTATTCGTGGTCTATTCGAGTTTTGGGGAGAGGTGTAAAGTCTGGTGTTAGACATACTGATTCCATTGTACATTGCCTGATAGATTGTAGGCTTGACGAACCCGCTGCCACAAAAATCAGCTTCAGTTGGCCTGTGAAGATGCTTTTGCTCATCACTTACCGACGCTCGCAGATGCCAACAATCTCAGCGACCTCCCAGGAAGCATAGTTGCTCAGACCAAGCTGCTTGAATTTGCCCTCCTTGTACAGCTGGTCGCATGCCTCGAGGGTCACCTCATAACTCGTGGCGCGGTCAGGTGCGTGGAGATAGAAGATGTCGGCGGAAGTGACGCCCAGCTTCTCCAAGCTCACGTCCCAGGATGCTCGCAGTTTCTCCGGAGCGTGATCTCCAGGGCTCTGGGGCATGCACTTAGAGGCAATTTTAAAACCACGCTCCTTGAAACCGGCCTCGCGGGTGAAGCCTTCCTGCTTGCCGGCGACGTAGAGGGCAGCGGTGTCGAGCTCGTTGTAGCCCTTGGAGGTGAGGAAGTCGAGGCACTTCTTGTACTCGTCGAGAGAGGTGATGCGGGCGCCGGCGGCGGCATCGGGACCAATTGTCATGGTCCCGAGGATGAGACGGTTCTTAGTAGCCATGGCGAATGCGACGAGTAATTCAATGCGATCGGGACAGGGGTATTTGGTACCGGCGATTCCAGGTTCTGGGATATGGTCATGAGAATCACAGGAGTCAGGGGGAGCGAGACCGCGTTCTTACATATCGTCATCAAACCGCGCTCTTCTCCCTCCCCCACCGCACATGTTGCCGAATGAGCGCGGACTATTGTCCGAGAGGCTGTTCTCCACAGCAAGTGAGGGGTTTGCGTTTGGGGACTCGAGAGCGAGACTTGAAAAGATGGAGACGGAAATTTAGTCCCGGTTGCTGATCGTCACCTGAGTCAAGCAAATCACAAGGGTCACATTGACAAACTCGGCTCGAGATTTAGGGTCCCATTTCTCGGTCCATGTTGTGATTGGCTCAGAAGTTGACATTTCTCCTCCCCATGCCCCATCTATCCATGTCTCATGCCCAGATCGTCTGTGTTTGTAGCTACGGCTTACATGTTTTGCCCGAGTTCGGCAGAGAAGGCAAAAGCAGATTCAAGCGAGGCAAACAATTTAGAAACTTGTGGAATTAATCGATTGATAAATCGATAATGCTTGATACCATGGCGTGCAAGTGAGCCACTTTCTTCGAAAGACCTTTCAGTGATTCCCCAAGACATCATTTACATTGTCCCTTTTTTCGTATTGTCAATCGGTTCATAATTCCAGGCGATCAACCAAAGACACTTTTACCTGTCTCAAGGACCGATTCATAACGCAAGATGAGTGGACAGCAAGGGTCATTGGGCTTTGCAGGCCTTGGGGCCATGGGTTTCGGCACGGCTTCAAACCTTCTCAAAGCTGGCTTTAAAGTCAATGGCTTCGATGTTAACCCAATTGCCTTGGCTAAATTCAAAGAGCTCGGTGGTTCCACGTCTACAACCGCCGGTGAGGCTGGTGCTGGCCAAAGCTTGTTCCTCATCATGGTGGCAACACCCGCCCAGGTCGACTCTGTCATCTTCGGAGCCGATGGGGTGTTGAAAGCTCTGTCGGTGGGAGGCGTGATTTGTTTGTTGAGCACTCTTCCCCCGGTATATGTCTTGAACTTGCGCAGTCGATTGGATGTCGGAAGGGCAGATATCAAGCTTGTGGATTGCCCGGTATCAGGTGGTGTTGTGGGCGCCAATGCGGGCAAACTAACTGCAAGTTATTTCGTTTACGAGAGATAGGTGTCAGTTTGCTAACGCGACTCATAGATCATGTTGGGAGGCAACAAAGAAGATTTGGATCAGGTCGACCCTGCACTACAGGCGATTTCTTCCCCTGGTAGGCTCTTCAGGTGTGGCCCTCTAGGATCAGCCAGCACTGTCAAGATGTAAGACAAACATAGAAACAGAACAAAACATATCAAAGCTGACATGAAAATCCAGGCTTAATCAACACCTTGCAGGAGTACATATTGTGGCTGCTGCCGAGGTGATTGCCTTCGCTAAGGCTCTTGGCCTCTCTTCCAGGGAGGCATATGGTATTCTGACCAAGAGTGAAGCTACGAGCTGGATCATGGGAGACCGAGGTATCTCAATGCTCAATGCCGACTGGTCTCCTAAGTCTGCCGTTAGCATCTTTACTAAAGATCTGGTATGCTTTGCAGCCCCCTTATCCTACCCATAATCTCTAACCTTAATGGAAATGATAGGGAATCGTCAATGACACCGCCGATGAACTGTCTGTGCCTTGCCCAATTGCTTCTGTTGCGAGAGATGCCTTCCTTGAGCGTGCTGGCCGTGGCTTCGGCCGAGACGACGATGCAAGTGTTGTATGTAACTACGAAGGCATCACTGGCAAGCCCGTCGCTGAGCCCAAGGGCCAAGCCTCTCTACCCTCGCCTCCTTCAGAGAGCCACGGTGATGTCAAAGTGGCATTCATAATCAAGGATAATGATACCGAACTGCTCAGTCTTGCTACTGCAGCTGAAAACAAAGGGCTCATCCCCATTTCGGAGACTTCGAATGATCTGGATACTAGGCTTAGCGAGCTACCTCAAGGGAGCATTGTCGGAGTTTCTAGCATTGAAAGCGAATTATTGGAGAAGATCAAGACACAGAACGCTCAGCTACAAGTCTTTGACTACCAAACTTACCGAGCGTCAGATTCTTCCGCTCTTCAGGTAAGTATTCATCCTGCGCGTGAATATTAGACCTCCACTAACGTAGCTGTAGATCATTTTTAGCACAGAGAATGAGAACATTGTCTCGGCGATTAAAGAAGTCCTCCCCCGACAGATAACTTCAACCAGAGTTTCTGGGCCCGTAGGATCAGCATCCTCTATGTGGCTCGCCATCCGCCTCGGTTCACTAGTTCATCTCGTGGCAGCTGCTGAAGTTTTTAGCCTGGCTGTTGCAAAAGGGGTCTCAACAGAGCTCATCTACAGCCTGATCTCCGGGGCTGCGGGCTCTAGCGACCAGTTTAACCAAGAGTTCCCTAAGATGATGAAACGGGACTTCTCAGTTACATCAAATATCAATTCCACTTTTACGAACGTGATGAAGGACCTGGTACGTGCTCAATTGTGGAAATTTGTTAACAAGAAACTGACATTTTCTCTATAGGCCATTCTTCAAAAGACAATGAATAAGATTAATTATCCAGGTCGTTTATTTGGAGCTGCGTACCAGACTTTCAAGAGTGTTAACCGCACATTAGAGGATAAGGAAACTTCCGCGGTGGCAGTGATAGATTTTTGGACACCCAAATCACCCACCGCATAAGATTCAAAATGTCCCTATTTTTATGTTTCTTGTTAGATATTATCACATTACATCCGTCTTAACAGTCATATATCTTATCGAAGACTACAATGTTATTATCCGTTTCTCAAGCTAGGTTTATATAGAGAATAAGGCTTGCCTTTCGAACTGGCGATTATCTATATTACGTTCCTTTCCACACTCTTTTTTGGCTTTATATCTTCAAGTCAGAGAATTTCTTTTTTGTAGTCCCTCGCAGAATTTTGGAACTTAGTCTACCAAGATGTTATTCTCCCCCAGCCTTCCTCTTTTAGTTTTCGCCTCTTTGTCATTGCCTAATCTCACCATTTCTCACGTTCCACATCTTGAGATCCTCAGTTCATTTTCCCACTCTTTGTGAGTAGTACCCAATGGATTTTAATGCAGGTATGACTTTTTTTTATCTTTCACCTATGTCTAGTATAATCCTCGACTAATTATTTACCTACTACATTGATGATGATGTATATGATAATTATGAAACTGGATTAGTTACAAGAATTGAAATAAGTAGCATGTCTTCATCCGTATCGAACCAAATACCGAAGCAATGAGGACCGACAAATAAGTCTTTTCTTTTATAATTACTTCTGAATTTAGTCTCGGTCACTAAAAAACTTCCATTTCAGCGGCCCAGAGATTTTTCAAATCATCTGAGAGAACCCCCGTCTTCCTGCCACTCGACCTCTGGCATTGGTCAATGAGATCCAATGTCTTTTTCCTCTCCTCCACGCCTTTCGTAACGAGACCCGCAATATATAAACACTGTGAGGAAACAAGGCTCCATGCGTCAGGTATTCCGGCATTAGCCGTCGAGAATATCTGCCGCCGATGCCACTCGATACGGCGTTGTGTGGAGAGGAACGCCGAGTTAGCCAAGCCGCGCAATGCGGCTGAAGTTGTCTCTTGGCGTCGGTTCAGTGCGAGTATGATCTTGCTTGCGTTGTATACTTGATTCGCTACGGCTGAAGGTTTCCAAAGTCTTCGTTAGTTTCGTTCACCGTGATCCACTAGAGTCGTAGCAAGAAAAGGAATTATCAATATGAGAGTCGGGGCTTTGAGGAAACGTACCACTGTGGGGGAAGACAAACCACATGGCCTCGAAGTGATTAGAGCCCATTGGCCCAACCTCGGGCTTCTCAGTCGAGAACCATGCCATACTCGAAGGCAATTTCGCCTTCCAGTCATCGAGTGCCTGATCCAGCTCCACAGCCTTGGCCTCCCTTGGCTTCCCAGTAGTGTCGTCGTTACAATAGTTGATGCACTGGCCAAAGATGAAAATGACTCGGTTGGCGACGTCCTCCGGGGTGAGGTGGCTGAAACTAGCGATAGACTCAGGTTGCCAGTATGCCTCGTCAATAGACATCTGGCGCGCTGTTTTGAGAGCTGCCCACGTCTCATGCCGGTACCAAGTCCAGTAGCAAGCTCCACGGATCCCGGCTACGTTGCCATGGACTTGGCGAGTTCGCAAAAGGGACGCGACACCGGTGAGATGCGAGCCGAGGGACTCTCCAACTACGTCAATCATCTCATAACTAAAAGAGTGCAACATTTTCCCTGTTAGTTTGGGGTAGCTCAACATCGGAAGAGGAACGGGTGGAGAATTAGATGGAGAGAATGGGGAACTTGCGTGGAGAGCAGGATACAAGCAGCCAGCATCTCGTCACTCTGTGCATATTCTGGATGCAGCAACAAGGTACGTATAGCCGAAAGTGCCAGTCGGTAGTAACGCAATGATTCACTTTCCGAAACAACGAACGGGGACGTCGTCCCCACAAGATCCATCTGCTTAGACGCGAGGGCGAGGCATGCATGGAGCAGCGACGGGCATCGCAAGGCTAAGATGGGAACTAACCGATGGAACGGCTGGTCGCTGGAAAAGGAGTCAACCTGTTAACCGAGAAAATAGGAGATAACATTCTCGCATTAGCTAAGAACCAGAACCAGAGATGTGGACAACAAGATCCAACAAATTTATCAGATCAGGGGAGGTGCGCGGAGATAATGCGGTATACTTACCCACTTGCTAATATTCTCCACGTAGTTTCGGAAGATCGGGACCTCGTGAGTCGATAATTGTATCTGATAGTCGACCCGAAGTTCAATATTTGACGGCGTATGTATCTCGCTAATATGGCCTTGATGCACTGATTGCTCCAGCCCCGGGTCAGTGGGCTGGTAGAGCTGTTGCAGAACATCTCCGTGTTGTTCAGGGAAAAACTCAGCATCGAGTAAGATGGACCCCAAAGTAGCAGAGAAGGGGGACACAGCCGTCAGATCTTGAGGGTTGGTGAAAGATGCGGAGATGATAGGGTCATGCCCGTCCTGGCCATCACTGAAGGGGACGAGGTGGGACAGATCACTTCCGGCAGGATGAGGATGTGGACTCTGCACATGGCTGGGCGTGGGTTCGCGTATGGGAACGCGTTGGCCTCTGAGCTCATGTACGGACACTGGTGAGTGTGAGGGCTGTGTTTGTGCTATTGATTGCGCTTGGGATTCCAAGGCTGAGGTTTGGGTCTGGTTCGGGCCTTTGTCCCGGCTCCGGCTTTGGATTTCCTTCTCGGTTGCTGTTCGTCTCGACTGCTGGTCCCCAGAGGACTCATAACGGCAGATGCGGCTTTTCTTCCCACAATTGACACAACTCGGCTTGCGCTCATCGCACTTGACATGGCGGTGGCGGCATGTGAGACAACCAGTATTGACTCTCAGCTTGCGGCGAGCTTTGAGACCTCGGCGCGAGGATGACTCTTGGGGCGCAGCTGGGGGAACAGAGACTTCGGCCATCGAAGATGTTGCCTGCTTCGGGAACAGGGTTCTGGCAAGAGCCGAGTGACCGGGTCAAGTTCTTCGAGTCGAAACGAAACAGCGATGCGGGCTGGTTAAAAGTACTCTCCCCATGTCATGTCATGCTGAGGTTGGGTCAGGATCCAGGGGTGGCTGCAGGGTTGAGCAAACTCGAGACGAGTTTTCACAACCATGAAGCAATGCGGGGAAGTTCAGAAGTTGTGGAGAGTCTCGGCCCACCAATCCACGTCCTTGGAGACTTGGGGACTCCTCTGGGGTAGAGATATCCATGACTAGCGCACCGCCATGGCAAAGCGTGACAACATGGGTGAAGTCGGTGGCCTTCTCGGCTCAACTCCTCGGCATCTCACAAAGACTTCAAATAATGCCCTTGGGACGCATCAATCGTCGATTAGGTTGACATCCAGTCGTCGCTCCATCATCAGGAGTCCCGTCTTGAGTCTGAGTCTGAGTCTGAGTCTTGACATCGATTTCAGCAACATCCTCCGATCTCGGCCTCCCATCTAATTCTGGAACACAGGTCGTAGTGTTTTCCATCGGCAAACATGCTGGAGAAAGAAAAGATAGAGTCCATCGAGGACCAGCTCGAGACCGCCACCTCAGATGAACATAATGAGCTCATTCAATATGACGAGAAAGAAACAAAAACCATTCTTCGAAAAGTCGACTGGCGATTGATTCCAATGCTAACCCTTCTTTATGTCCTATCATTCATTGATAGAAGCAACAGTGCGTCTTGAACTCAATGCGGCCTGATCATTGTCACAGTTAACTGAATTCCATCATCTAGTCGGCAATGCCAAAGTCGCTGGCATGAACACGGATTTGGGCCTTACGGGCAGTCAATACAATATCGCGTAAGTCAATCTCAAGCACTCTCGAGGTAGCCACGGTAGAATCTCTTGGCTAACAACCCGCCAGCCTAACCGTCTTCTTTTTTCCCTATGCTCTACTGGAAATTCCCAGCAACATGGTTCTCAAGGTCGTCCGCCCTTCCATCTGGATTGGCGCTATGATGCTCGCCTGGGGCACTATCATGACTTTGATGGGAATTGTCAAGGACTTCCATGGCCTTGCTGGTGCTCGAGCTGCTGTAAGACAACCCCGTCAACAAGTACGAGAAACGCAGCAGAGCTGACATGTTACCTCAAGCTCGGGGCTGCCGAAGCTGGCTTCTTCCCGGCCAGTACCTATCTTCTGACCATCTGGTACAAGCGCCTAGAGCTTCAAGGACGTATGGCCGTTTTCTATAGTAGGCATATCCAGGTCCTCTCCACTTGATGATGACGATTAACCCGTCGTAGGTGCTGCTTCTATGTCTGGTGCCTTCTCTGGTCTTCTGGCATTTGGGCTACAGCAGATGGACGGAATTGCCAACCTCTCTGGCTGGCGCTGGATTTTTATCATCGAGGGTATCGCAACCGTTGTTGTGGGCGCCACTTGCTTCTTCCTTTTGCCAGACAGCCCCGAAACAGCAACCTTCCTTAAACCTGAAGAGCGAAAGTTTCTCTGCCAACGACTGCGACACGACGCTGGTACTAAGACCGGGAAGGTCGATCTCCAGGATAAGTTTCACTGGCCTACCATTATCGCCGCCTTTACCGATTGGAAAATCTGGCTCGCAGTTATTATTTACTGGGTATGGGTGTCTCTATTGACATTGTATATAGTTACTCGACACAACTAACTTGACGCGTTACTTAGGGCAACACTATTTCCATCTACGGTTTCACCTACACTGCTCCAAGTGTCATCCTTGGTCTCGGTTACTCTGCCGCCAACGCTCAGCTTCTCACCATTCCCATCTACGCCCTTGGTGTGATTGGAACCCCGCTCATTGCCTTCTACGCCGACAAGCACCAAACCCGTTGGCCCTTCATCGTTGGCCCCTACTGCATCTCAGCCGTTGGCTTTCTCGGTCTCCTCTCAATTCCCCATCCCCGTCTCCCCGGTCTCACTTATGCCTTCCTCTTCTGCATCCCGGTTGGTGTCTACCCTCCACTCATTGGTCTCGTTTCATGGGTGGGTAACAATCTGGCGCCATCATGGAAGCGAGCCGTCGGCATGGCTCTTCTCATTTGCATGGGTAACTTTGGTGGTGCCATCGGTTCCAACATCTACCTGGAGAGCCAGAAGCCCAACTACTGGCTCGGGTTTGGTTTCGGTCTGGGAATTTCGGTCGCTGCCATCATCGCCACCGTTGTTCTCAAATTCGAGTATCAGCGCCTCAACCGCCGCAAGGAGGCTGAGGGCACCGAGGAGGAAGTTCGCGCCAAGTATGGTGACGAGGAACTGACCCAGATGGGAGACAAGAGCCCTCTCTTCAAGTACATTGTCTAAGACATCGATTCTTCTAAAGTGTCCCTTGATTAATGTCAGTTGGATATGTGGTGCAAAGGGAACACACGAGACAGATAATCTCGTTCAATCTATTGGGGGGACATGTGAATGTTTGCATTAGCATGCTGTTTTAGATCTCCAGCGTTTCTCTTTCCTGTGAGGGGGTGAAGATGAAGGCAATATATATCATGCCCTCTTCAACTGTGAAGAAACCGGTTTCAAATCGATATGTAATGCTAAGGAGGTGTTGTCAGCTAGCCAGCGCTGCTCGATTGAGTAAGGACAGTGTGGTCTGAGATATCTGGCGATGAAGGAATACTCGTACTTTATATATCCCTCACTGCACAGCAATTTTAACGTCTCCCAAAGGGTTGTCAAAGAAATTTGTAGGTTACATGTCTCGCAAAGAGATCATCTGACTGTGCCCATCATGACTTGAAGAATATTATGACTCGATGCCGGGCTGCGCGCGCGTGGCTGTGCATTGTCTAAGCGCCGGAAGCTCCAAGGGTCAGATGAGGGCTACCTCTAGGACTTCCAACAGGGAGGCGCTTACTGCATAGGTCTTGTTCTTCTTGCACATGGGTGATAAGTTAATTGAGCTAGGTTATCATGAAACAGAAGAGTGGCAGGTCATAGTAAAAGCCAGGTCGTAGCATATTCTCGAACGTGATGCTTGCATCAAATTGCCTCGCAGTGTGATGGGCCCTCCTCTACAACTCTTCCGGGAATGTAAGCATCTCTCTATTAATGTCCCCCGCCTCCTCGGTAAGTCTATCTCGTTTAGGGGTACAATTCTAACCAGTCCGCCTGTTTCATCCTCATTCCACCGAGATTCGCTTCCAGCTATCCAATTATATTCAATAATAATAATAACGACGAGGTCCATCAATCAGGTCAAGCGCATTTTGCTGTCCCTGAAGCTCCAACTGCTTCTGGGCCTTGTGCGCATTCAGCCTTGTCTGAGCTGTGCCACGACACCGCGCAGAGGATTCGTCAATGCGACGCTGGAGCTCAGGCGGGCACCTTGCGAGAAAGACGTGGCGTGGGATGGCTCCCTTCTCAGGCCAGATGCCAAAGAAACGCAAGGCATGGTTCAGCCCGCTCAGGTGCTGATCAATGTCGGCGCAGAATTCGACCGACTACTAGAAACATGAGCCAGAACTGAGAGTAAGAAATAAAGGATGGCGCGTGTGGTTACCATAAAGTCAGCGAAGCCCTCGAGGCTCAGCAAGGGCATTCCGCCGTACGGAAGCTGCTTTGCTCGTGGATTTCGCACCACCACTTTGTGGTCGAAGTAGAATCCCTCCAGGGCCGCCTTGAGTTCGAAGTCGGCCATGTCGTCCGCCGAGAACATCATGTTACCCTTGCGACTTCTTTTCCCTACAAACGATGTCAATTTCAAGATATGAATACGATGCGAGGTCGGGTGACAACGTACAGACGTTATCGTCAACGCGATAATGGCAGGCATCCAAGAAGCTGGAAAAGGCTTCTGGTGTGATATAGCCAGTTCCTTGCGGGTCAAGCTTGGAGAAGAACTCCTTCATCAGGCTGTTGAAGACTGGCGTCCCGTTCCCATTCGAGTAAAACATGTGCTCATTCCATTGCGAAGCGGGAGCGGCAGGCTGTTGGGGTGGTGATGGGAACCCAGGCGGCGCCCTCGGATGCGCGGTGTTTGCCTGATGGTTCTGCTGATATTGGTACTGTTGCTGCTGTTGCTGTTGCTGTTGTTGCTGAGCATAGTAACCAGGTGGTGGTCCTGGGGGAGGCTCGTATTCTTCGTAGTATGGCCCCGACATGTTATTACTGATGGAATGATATCGTCAATCTCTGTGCGACAACTGCTACGATCAAACCAGACGTATTCAGATTGATGAGAAGGAAGAAGCTTGACTCTCAGACAAGTGAGGGGCGCGACTTCTGTCAATAGATGCCTTCTCATCGACAAGCCTAGACTTGGAACGGTCAGAGCTAAGGCCGCCCTCGTATTAGTCCTATGGAGAATGGGCTAGTCTAGAGCACGATCTATTGAGGTGGCAACTAAGATGTAGTGGAGACGATCTTTCAACACAAGTAAGCGAGTGACATTGAAAGTTGAGACATTGACACTCGGTCGTTAATAAGCTGGTTGTTTTCAGGCCTGCTAGCGGTATTATCAAATTATTGAGTATCAATAATACATGCTGAAGAGACAATACAGCATATATTGTCAGTTTATCTCTTTTTATGCGACTAAACTTCTCTGTTACGGAAAGTAGTCTATTTATTATGACCTTCCAAGAGTTGTTTCATTTCTCCTATCACCCATTTGACAAGGTGGCAAGATTTAGTTGATTATCTCAATTCGGGACGCTTGTGGAAATGTAAAGTTATCTGCCTTTGAGTAACTCTATGGTCAGGTCATCTGTATGAGTTCTGTCCCAAGTATAGAGAGTAGACGGCGACGCTCTTGCATGACAAGCCGCAAAGTCCTTAAGTCGGTTCATGATGGGCACTATGTTGAATTTAAATGGTCAAACAAGCCAAATTTTATTTGTTGTATACTAGAGAAAACAATATATCCCTATTGCAACATCGCGATCAATTCCTTTTCGCCATAGCGATAGTCATATTCATATTCCCCTTCCTTGTTCCAT